TTTGGAAAATGAGTTCGTCATTTAGGAGTGTGAGAGACGAAAAACGAAATATTGAGTAGATTTCTGAAGAAGCAAACCGTTGCTAAGATGCAAAGATGTATCCATATGAAAAACAAATGCGTTCGGATCCTCATTCATCAATGACAGCTGAAAAATTCCTGAGAAAATAGTTCGTATTAGTCTTTCAGAATTACGAAACACGAATAACGAAATAATGAATAATGCAAAAGTTTACCAGTAGGTTTATGCTAAGGATTGTGTGCCCAATGTGATCGAAACGAAAACCAAAGTGATTCGTCATTCAGCAGTGCTATTTGAAAGACAAATAATGCAACAGTTCGTTATTCCTCATTCAGGAGTGTGAAATACGAATCTCGAATGACAATAACGAACTAACTACTGATTTTAGATGTTGTATTATGAATGAAAAGTTTGTTGTTTTTGTTGTTGTTTTGTTGTTGTTGTTGGTTTTTTTCTTGGTTTAAACATATCTTTATTCCCTTAAAAAATCCGTATCGGTAAACCCTAGTGTGGCAGGATATGCTAAACGTTTTTGCGAACACCTGGTGTCAACACTATTTGATAGTGATTAATAAATACATAGTCGGAATCGTACAATGGACAATGCTATTAGAAGCGATTTATTAAGGAAGCAAATGTTGTTTTTTAATCGCTATTATTCAACAAGAGAGTGAATGCGTTATTTCCTAACGCCACATGAGGAACGGTGCAGCTATTCGAGGTCAAATCAAGGTAGTTATAATATCTATGAGGGAATACATGGACTCACAAAATGTCCTAAACAGTTTCATCGATGTCCCTGCTATTTTATCTGTTCAGTTAATTTTACATTCTTATACTTAATACCCAGACAGTATTATTCCAATAACCTTGACAGTAAATTGTTTGATAGGCATTACTTTGACGTTGACGAATGACAAAGTAGACACAATTTATGGATAACAACTTCTTGGATACTGTAAAGGCGACGTTTCGATATAGATCCCTATACCGTTGTCAAGCAAGATACCAAGATGTGTTTTTATAAACGTTCTACCACGTACAGAGTACATCCTCGTGGTATTTACTACTGATCTGCGCTAGTAACTTTGTTTTGAAATTACAACTATTTATTTCGAAGGCATTGACATTATTGATACTTGGGATAATTATATTGAACATATGCGACCATTTTGAAGAACTGCGAAATGTCCTGCGTATGATCGAAACCTTTTGAGACTGCATTATTTCTTCTTCTTTTTTGTGGGGGAGTTTTATGGCTCCATCTTTATTTTCACATACAATTAAACTTCTTTTTATTTTATCTGGCTTATTCCCCAAAATGAACTTCAAGGATCATTTATGAAACTGATCTATAACACAAAGATTTTAATGCTGTATTTCTTCCCAGGGATGTGAGATTTCTGAGTGACCATATTGTCTTTAATCTTTCAGACTCTTTAAACTTAGTTTTATAGTTGGTATCAATCACATCTTGAAGGCCTGTGTGGAATTGCACACCTAACAGTTTAAATATTTATATTTTCCTTTACACAAAACTCATGTTTTTGTTTCGCAAATACATAAATGTAGTTCTTTCAAGTATCATGACACAAAAGGGTGGATATATGAAAAAAAGATTGTTCAAAGGTTTGGCCCATGGGCGAGAATATTTTCCTTTACACAAAACTCATGTTTTTGTTTCGCAAAAACATACAGATGTTCTTACAAGTATCATGACGCAAAATCTAACTCATTTTAACTTAATTCAACGATTTTAGAGCGATATTGAAATATTTCGCCCTGGGCGAGGAAGTTTGGCCCACGAGCGAGAATATTTTCCTTTGCTCAACAGTTTTAGTTTCGCAAATACATAAAGGTGTGTCTACAAGCATGACACATGATTCAACTCATTTTAGCTTAATTCAACTATTTTACGGCGTTATTAAAATATCTCGCCCATGTTTTCGTCAGTCCCTTTAAAGCATTTGTGTGCAAAGTATATTGTATCATGTAAATATACTTTACATTATATCATTACATTACTATTTACAAAGGGCCTTGGTTGGATGTTTCATTTATAGAAGTTTTACTAATTTCAAATATTGTTTTAAATATTGTAACGATCTTTAATGAACCCGGCCTTACCTCTAAAAACGTTTTGACAGTTTATCATACGAATTCATGCGCTCGTACTCCAATTCATTGGCGTTATTTTCCAACACATTAAAGTTTAGTTAGTTTCTTTTTCATTGCCCAATTTGTAGCCTAGTGGTTACAGCGTTTGCTCGTCACGCCGAAGACCATGGTTCGATTCCCGACATGGGTACAATGTGTGAAGCCCATTTCTGGTGTCCCCCGCCGTGATATTGCTGGAATATTGCTAAAAGCGGCGTAAAACAACACACACACACACACACACACACACACACACACACACACACACACACTCACACATTTCCCATTTCATGTCTCGTTGATATATCACACTGGGCAATTACGTGACACTAGGTATGCAATGTACAGGTACACGTGCGCGTATTTTAATGAAAAAAAACCGATTCGTCTTTCATTGCATAACATCTGGCTGAATATCTCACATTCTAACGAAATATCAAAATAATTATTTAATTACATGCGGTATCGAACTGACCAATTGGGAATTATGTTTCAATGCGAATGAGGAAAACTTGAGTGAATATTGTGACACGAAAGCAGCGTAAATGTTGCATTAAGTTAAAATGAGTTAAATTATATGTCATTAAACTTCTAAGAACACCTTTATGTATTTGCGAAACAAAACCACGAGTTTTGAGCAAAATAAAATATTCTCGAAATATTTCAATAATGCTGTAAAATAGTTGAATTAAGTTAAAATAGTTAAATTATGTGACATGGGACTTCTAAGAAGACCATGTATTTGCGACACTAAAAAATGAGTTTTGAGCAGAATAAAATATTCTCGCCCATGGGCGAAATATTTTAATGTCGCTATAAATCGTTGAATTGAGTTAAAAATGAGTTACATTATGTGTCATGAAACTTGTAAGAACATCTGTATGTATTTGCGAAACAAAACCATGAGTTTTGAGTAAAGGAAAATATTCTCGCCAATGGGCGAAATATTTTAATATCGCTATAAAATAGTTGAATTAAGTTAAGATGACTTACATTATGTGTCATGAAACTTGTAAGAACATCTGTATGTATTTGCGAAACAAAACCATGAGTTTTGAGTAAAGGAAAATATTCTCGCCCATTGGCCTGCTAATGGGCAAAACCTTTTTCTCGCCCATGGGCGAAATATTTCAATATCGCTATAAAATCGTTGAATTAAGTTAAAATGAGTTAGATTTTGCGTCATGATACTTGTAAGAACATCTTTATGTTTTTTGCGAAACCAAAACATGAGTTTTGTGTAAAGGAAAATATTCTCGCCCATGGGCGAACAACCTTTTTTTCATATTTTCTTCCTTGGTATGTTCCCATGAAAACAGCATATTTAATTTTGTAAATACCTTTGACCGAGACTGGGCAAAGACCGTAGAGTTTCTGGACTATTGGGTTTCCAGAATTAAAATGGGACGTGTTAATATCAATTTCCATTAAAATTTCCTTTTGGGTTTCTTGTGGGTCTGCTTCATCTAACTTGATGGTTAATTTATTGAGGGTGTATATCCTTTCCTTTGTTTCACGTTCTTTCTGTATGTGTGATACGTATAGCACCTTTTACGGGATTTACATATTCAAAATCTTGTAATATCAAAATCTGCTCTAACAATAGATGGGATTATGTTGAATGAAACAAGGAAATAATCAAGACGTTCTTGTTTGGGGTGTTTGCTTGTCGCCAAGTGTATCTTTTTTTCAAATGGGTTTCTATCTCACCAAGGGTCAATGAGGACAAGATTCTTTTTCATCTTTAAGATTCGTTCTCTTGATTTAGGATTGTTAACACGTTTGTAATTATATGTATCAAAAGTTTAGGTTGAATGAAGAGTTGATATAAGGATTTCAAATCCTTTTTTCGTCCAGTGCGAGGTTTCAGTACAGATGCGTATACCTTTATCAAGCAAGCAATAACTGCACATACACTGTACAAACTGAATTTAGAATGTTATAACACGTACAAAACATGGTTAGAAATGTGTTTAAATCCTGAACTCATTCGGTGTGTTGAAACACGTGAAATTTGCGTTCGGCCTACAGCCTTAACACCACAAAAACACAACATGATAATAATTGATAATCTAAATATGTTTGGAATTTATGTGGAGGACACGGTTCTTTCCCACGTTCAGCTGTTAAACATAATCCTAAACATGTTTAGACCCTAAACGCGTCAAAATTATGGAACGAGGAACGCTCTTAGGTTTGTGTTTCAGTGTACGCAAGGCGAGTAGGCCAGAAATTTAAAAGCCTTGTCAAACATTCTACATTGACACTGTCTGCACCAGCAAAAACACCTGCAAGACAATCTCCCTGGTCGCACGACTGGTATTGCACCTTTCTGTTAACCCACCAGCCTGCCATCAGCTTAATGCATGCAGTATACCACATAGGAACAAACCACGCAGCGCACACAATCAGCTTCACCACCCCGCCCTCTTCCCACCCCGACCCCTGCCCTCCACACACAGACACGATAAAACGGTCGCTGTATATAGTACCCGTTGTATTTAGTTACACTATTGAGCCTTGGAAATAGCATGACACATCAAAGTAGCACAAAATGTACATCAGATTGTTTCAGTAATGAATACCTACCACGTGACGTTAGTTCTCAGAACTGATTCACGAACTGATCTTCTTGTAAATGGATGTTCTGTGCCAATGGGACGTATCTCAAGTTCTTTATGCTGATCGCGAAATTCCACACCATGCCGGTGAGGGCTAATGTTATCATTTGCATGTCTAAAGTCGTTATCAAGTCATGACCACATGTTCAAAACGCGACGATGAGAAACCGTTTGTTTTGTGCCTGTGCCAGGAGACTACAGTATATACAATCGCGATCAGGTCGAGAATACCCGATGTGAAACTATCTGACAGATCAAACGACGAAAGACACGCACTATGTGTACGTTATAAAGTGTTACATTAAGCAGACTATAGTTCACAGTATTCCACACCTGGCATGTTTGGCGTCACTTTTGGATTTTGCCATTTGACAGGTACAACTATTTCTCTTGACTTTTAAATGTTTGCATTATTAACATTCACTACCACTATTTGAACGAGTAGTCAAACAAAGGGCTTGGTTTTGTTGTTTTTGTTTGTTTGTTGTTTAACGCCGCACTCAGCATATTCCAGCTATATGACAGCAGTCTGTGCATAATCGAGTCTTGACCAGACAATCCAGTGATTGACATCATGAGCATCGATCTAGGCATTGAATACGATGACATGCATCAACCAAGTCAGCGGGTGACAGAGTTGGTGTAGACATTAATCGGCATATCTATTTTGCAAATTCCTGTGTATTTGTAGGAGCTGCTAGTGACATAAAGCACGACACATCATGATTCGGGGAAGTGCTGTCTGGCTTCTTCTGTTCATGGCAACGACCCGAGCAGGTACGTTGGGGCTCTGCTTCATGTATATCGCGAAAAAATATGTATTTGTATAAATGGTTTCTTACTTTTTTTTATTAAATTGATGGTCAAATTTCCTGGGTGATACTTTAGTGCTCTGACTCTGAACAAAGTGGTATGGCCACAGATGTTTACGTTCGTTCACTGGGTCCGAAGGACCAAGTTGAGCTTATGCCATAGCGTGGCGTCCGTCCTCCGTCCGTCGTCTGTCCGTCGTACGTACGTCAACAATTTATTCAAACGACTTCTTCTTTTTAACAACTAATTGGCAATTAACGAAATTTCACTGGAAGCATTCCTAGGTGTGGGGATTCAAAATTGTACAAATGGAGGGGCTGACCTGTTCTATCCCTTTAAGGCACATCAATGTTGGACACAAAAGGCCCCTTATTCACTACTTGAACTTTGCTATTGGGGGGGGGGGGGGGGGGGGGGGGCTGATTGTACTTGTATTATTAAATTAAACAATTCGGCAATTAACTTGGACAGGTATTTCAAATCAAATGGACACTAGTTTGGTGACTGTTAAATTCTATGAAATCTGAGTGAAGGGGGGTTGTTGTAATGTAGATGCTTATTTAACAGATACTCCATTCAAGTTTAGCCTTTACTTTAGAGATGAACGATAAACGTATTTAGTACCTGGATATAATGATTACAATATGAAACAATAACACTGAAACAGATGTATAGTACAAACCAACCGATTCCAAACAATATATCAATTTCAATTGTCACCGCCGGCCATCACACACACACACACACACATACACAGCGCCCTTTCCTCATAGTATCTAATTGAGATCGTGCACAATATAGAAAAAATGGATTTACTATTACAAAGAAACTACCATAGAGCATTGATCTTCTAAAGTCTAAAGATTAACCTACCAAGAATGTTCTCCCTTTTGTTACAACTTTTTAACCCACAAAGCCGGAAATATTTCGAAAGGTTCGGGAGACAGTGTTTTCTTTAAATAAGTGTGAAGAACTTCCACAATACGTGTGACGAAATAAACTTTTAAGAGGAACAAGACGAATACGAATGTAAACAGTACAACAGACCTTATTGTGGTACCTCCCCTCCTGTTTTACAGTGTAGTTCTTTTACATTCAAAGACGGAAATACTTTCTATGTCCCTGAAAATATAAATGGTGCTTCAACTGACTGGCTTGTGTGTGGAATCCTGTAAGAAAGGGACATTGTCGCATTGTCGCATTGTCGCCCTTCCAAAAACAAGTAATCAGTGTCAAAATTAACCAGAGCGCGACAACGCGACATTTTGGCTTTTTGTCGCATTATCGCATTATCGCTTCGAATACTCTTTGACCGCCTCCGTGGTCTAGTGGTAGAGCGTCCGCCCGGAGAGCGGAAGGTCCGGGGTTCGAGCCAAGGCCGCGTCATACCAAAAGACGTTAAAAGATGTTACTTGTTGTCACCCAGTCTGGCGCTCGGCATTAAAGGGCTAAAACAAGGACTGGACGGCTCGGAGTCAGTATGCGTCGGGTATTCATGTTAAACTGCGGCATGATATCTGAGCGTGCTAGCACTATAAATCGGCATCATTCCGGACTAGTACAAGCAGCCACACACACGTGCATGCACGTCGCTATATAAGTGCAATAAACTTGTACGCGACGATAAACCCCATTTCACTTCACCTCGAAAACTCTTCACGATAAACAAATGACGCGTTGTCACATAGTCGCCACATCAAAAATGTGTAAAAAAAAGGCGTTTAAAAGATTTTAAAAATGTCGCATGGTCGCGTTGTCGCCCTTTCGATTAATTGTGCGCATGTGTAGTAAGTGAATGAATAATCTACGCGTGCGCCGAAAACGTTATACTTCTTTTCAAACTCCGGTGGTCTTTTGTTATATTAGCTTCAATGGTTCTAAAACCAAAGTAGCAATGGCAATGTGGTTTGCTTTTCTCAAAATGAAAACAAATCTTTCATCGTTGTTTTAGAAAATAGTTCATATATCGTTATTGTCTGTGTCGGTTTTCATAAACCAAACCATAAACCAATTTACACGGCAAGAAACAAACACTTTGCACACACGGTTGGTTCTGTCGTTTTAGACGGCGCAGTTCGTTGTGCGTCTCCTTAGAAGAGTGTTTCTAGGGCCCCGGTCATTCCCCACACTGAAGCACACGTTATGCTTGTGGTGTCTCTTTGGGCAAGTGACTTTGTTTGAAATACGCCACTGTTCAGCCAGCAGTGGATGGGTACCCGGTAAGATGATATGGCAATGTGTCTGTTAACCTTCTAGCACATCACAGGCAGCTTGGAGATGAGAATGACCTTGGTAAACATGCGCTTTGAGTATGATTCAGCATTGAAAAAAGTGCCATACAAATGGACTTTATTATTATTATAAATCGCATCGATAAATGCGCTGTGTAGAGTGGCGTCCCTTAGGCGTGTCAGAACCCTATGAGCGTGAGTTCTACTTCCCGGTTCGACATGATTCCGACTTCCTTCCACATGAAGCTTACGCCATAACTGAAATAGTGTTCACAGCGGCGTTAAACAATACTCACTCACGAATTTCACAATAATGGTTTTACGATGTCTATATTTGAATCACATCTACTTAATCGGAGTTAATACTTCATAATTCAGGTTACCGACGACCCTTTAACTCACATACTTAGCTTAGAGTTCGTTCACTGGGCGCAGTCATCTATAACCGTATTCTACAGGTCGACATTTAGAGTCGGAGGGTCGTCTATCTCAGGAAAGGTCGACATCGCATAGTCACTCTCGAGATCGTGCTTCTCCTAGTCGACATTCTACTGATCGTACTGCTACTAAGGGTCGATATCCAGACACAGCATCCAGGAGTCGACATTCAAAGGGTCGACATCCCAAGGGTCGACATTCATGTCATTGACATTCAGATCATTCGCCCCAACCTAGATCGTCCCGAGAACCGACTATAATGTCGCACCGACCCTCCATGCAGACAACTTTCGGTCAGCTAGATTATACCTCTGACACTTCAGATCGCTTATCTTTGGATCGATCCTTCGATGATAGACGTAGTCGTTCAATTTCTACAGAACAGCATCGACATCTTGGACGATCATACTCGACTGACTCAGCGTCAGCGATACTCATCTCGACATTACAGGGAGAGCGGATGGGGCCGGCATAATCGATATCAGCCTTTGCTATACTATACCCGTACCCTGCTCCGGATCGATATGAAGAACAGATATCGACCCTACCCTGAATACTACCCAGAGTCGACATTCTTTTCATGCACGTCCCCTACAGAAGCGCATTCAGGCCAGCAATCGCCAAACAAGTTCCCGGTCGTGATGCCTTCCCTCTCAACATCCTGTGACGGACCCTTCTACTGGTACAGCTCCTCCAGCGACTAACCCCTTATCGACTTCATGGGATCATAGAGATCAGACCGCGTTCTCGTCCTCACAGATTGAATATTCCTTACGGCGGCCTTACAGCAACGCACCGAATAGTCAGGGGTACCACCCAGGGACGCTACAACCACGATTACATCGCAGACGGCTACAGATTGAGTCGACAAAACGCCTACACTTTGCCTACTTTATGATCGCGATCTGCACAAAATCAAGTTGTACTGGACAATCCAGTAATTGACATCATGAGCATAAATCTACGTCTTGGTATACGATACCATGCTCCAACCATGATAGCATGCTGGACCGCACGATCCCGTTGGTCTCCTCTTACAAACATAGTCACCTCCTTTGACAAGCTGGAGATACTGAAGACCTATTCTACCGGGATCGACAGGAAAAGACTCACGGGTCCACGGATCGACATTCCAATGATCGACCACTAGGAACGACGTCGACATTCATGCGATCATTTTTCCAAGGATCATCATATCGGTTAGCTAGTCAACACAGAAAAGTCAGAGACCACGCTTTCTCTTAAACTGCACTTCATCGGAGCTCTTTTCGACACTGATCTCGGGCAAATGTTCGTTCATCCGGATAGGTGGAAGAAGATACAACGACTCGTGCCGTTAGCACTAAGACAGTCTTTACATTTTGGACAATGGCAGCAGTTAATCGGTCTTTTGACGTCGGCACAAGCTCTTATACAGCGAGGTTGACAACTACTGTCAATTCAGCGTTATCTGAGACCTTATCTTTAGATCAACGATTGTCGGGTGCAATAGAATCGATCCTCCAAAACAACAATCTCGAATTCAAGGCGGTCATTCTAGCGATCTTCGGGCGGCACGACTCATGATCCAGTCCGAAAACCCCTCAGTCGTTTGGTATATCAACAAGATGGGATCTACCAAGTCAGCCTTCCTGCTGGCCCTGACGATAGAGTTCTTTCAGTTGATCGATGGTTTGGACATCCTCGCCAGAGATCGACACGTTCCGGAGTCGCTTTGAAACAAGTTGTAAGATAAATGGTATCTGACAGGCACGAGTGCAGTAACCCTTTTCTTACACACCCTAAAATCGCACCTTTTTAGCATCGAATCGATGCAGTTTGTCTATTCTTATGATCTCGGTGGCGCATTAATGACGTCATCCGATGTACTGCTTACTACTCAAAAACAACGTGACCCTACAGAAAATGGTTTCCGCCATATCTTAGGATTTTCAAGGCGATGATGATAATGCAAACTAGATAAGATCAATGATTTTCACCTCAAAGAAATTACCAAATATGTACAACAATGTTTACTTCCGTTTGATATCACTACCGGTGACCGACATTTACAAAATGGCGTGGTCACTGAGAACATGACGCGGAATTTTTCAGGGGAGGATTTTCGTTGCTTGAGGGATCGTCATAAGTATTTCACGTAAGAAATCAGAAACAATAAGACAATCTGCGTACTGTTATATGTTATTTGCTATATGCAACCAAGACAAATGCAGGTAACTAGGCCTACCGTCCACAAAGGACGGAAACGTTTACGATTTCTGTTGAATTTACCTGATCATTGTAATGTATCCAATTAGACGAATGGATCTCTCAAAATAGGAGAAAATGCTACACGGTGTAGGATTAAAGCTGAATTTTGCTTTGTTTACATTTCAAATTAGTACAATATTCCGAGCACAGTGTTCGTTTCCACACCTAATTTATTTCGCTTGATTTCATCTAGATACTTTTCATTGGTGTTAAAGACCTTTTGTCATTTGATTCTAAAATGTATGAGGAATTCAGGGATGCATGTATCGCAGCTGAGTTTGAAATATAGTGATCTAGGCGTCTCATAACCCGCATATGTGAAACGTGATTTTGTAAACACTATCCAATACGGCGGAACGTTCACTTCGGCGCTCGTGTTTCCGTAGTTTCCAAAACATTCTAAATGATTTAAGGTTAATCGGCGAAGTTTCAGTATTATCATTAGTGATTTTGATGATATGATACCCGTGATCACTTATATGCTATTTTTGAAATTCAATTCTTCGAGTAATATCAGATATTTAGATTTCTAAACAAAAAGTAATAAATGGTGAATAGTGACTTAGTAATGTGTCAAAAATGGCGAGATATACGATGTACCTAATTTTCAGAGGTCGCTTTTAGTACTTTTGTTTTGCCTTAAATGACATTGAATTTTATTCGACTTCAAAGTGAGGGTTGAAGAGGAGGGTCATATATGTCGATGTGGCATCCAGGGGGTTTACACTCTAAAACACCATAACGTTCAACACAGATGCAGGTGACCATTCGACTGAAGCATGAGCAACTTATCAATGACTTACAATCAGGAAAGTAGTCCGTCATAATCTGACCTCAGTTCATCATCATTAAATAGCCAGTCATGGGCCTGGAATTCCATCTCACACATATGTTTGATACCAGTTATTTTTTTCAAATGGGTTTCTCAGCCACAGGTGTGTAAGAAACATTAGTCTTCCACTACGGAGTCACCGAAAGGCGCGGCCGGTTCAGCGTGTCCCAAAACCCTTACCTGTTCACCTCTGCCATGAGCACGTGATGTTTTAGTATTGTTTTGAAGATCCTCTTATCGATATTGCTGATCGTTCCTCATCGTGTCTTAACGAGTTCCACCCCGCAGTGGGATAGATAGCTTTGACACAGCGTAAAATGAGATGCCAAACAATTGAGGTCTTCGCCAATATGAGCGTTGGGTGAAGCTAATCGCCTGGAGTCCCCTTTCGGATTGGTCAAAAAGCCATGGTTGAATAGGTTAGCCTACTTCAAACCTATGCGGTCGTCAAAACAAATAGACAGAAAAAGACGATGTCCTATGCGAAGACACACAAACACATGTTACACCCTCACTCGCAGTGATCAACGAAACACGAATTGTCTTCGGTCGCGGAAGGTAACAATCTTAGAAATGAAGCATGTTTAGCACCGGCTTCCTCGTGTATATCTCACGGTTACAAGAAATAGACAGACTGGGGTATCTGCGACCCGCCGTCCTAACCGTGGGATAAATACATAGAGTGAGGTAGAATAAGTTTAAAATATTTGTAAATTGTACGGTAAATTGTATATTCATAAATACTTATTCCATCTCACGAACTATGCCCACCCGTCCAACCCCGCATCACAATTATCAAAATGTCGTGTTGTCGCGCATTTCAACGCCCTTTTTCCACATTTTTGTTACGGCGACAATACGACAACGCGACATATTTTGACCTTGACAAATGTCGCGTTGTCGCATTGTATTCAAAGCGTGACAATGCGACAGATGGCCAAAATGTCGCAAATCTTAAAATGTAAATTAAAAGATGTCCAAAGGTTTTTTTATGGTAGACATCTCTAAATTTGACGCGTCAGTGATAAAATGTTGTCCGATGCAGTTGCCTTATTTTGACTTGTACCATATGTTCCCGTATTTTTTAAGGTGAACAATTGACTTTCACATGCATGTGTTTGTTAAAGGTGCCACCGGTGGGGAACTCACTTTTCGTATCAGATCCTTATTGTAATAGGTTAATTATGAAATGCTTTGATGGCAGCATACCCTTCGTCATTCTTCAACGTATAATGGAGTGGAAGATATGTGAATTCAGAAGATGCCAGATCAGAAGTGATCACTGGCTCCCAATCCCTTACGCTAATAGCCGCGACCCTCCCTCCAACAAGCAACCCTACAAAGGAGTCATTTATAACATTAATTGTGACAGAGGCGACCCGTAGATTGGTGACACCTCCCGCCCAGTAGATACCCGCAACAAGGAACTTTAGACTTTTACAGCCAAAGCACACCTCTCCTCACAGACCACCAGCAAAAGTTCGCTAGCCATCAAATTCAGTTTGACAAAGTCAAAGTCCTCTCAACCAAACACTTCCCTTAAAGAAACCCCAGAAGCTATAGTAATCCGCCGTCACAAACATTTGATCAACAGATTTGAATACATCTCGTCTGCCTATGAAGAGCTATTCAAGCAACTTTTGTAATTAGTATTCAATCAGCTTGTCACAACTCTTTAATCCTGGCCTCATTACCAGTGTGTTATTGGTTATCCTTACTGTATATCTGGCCTCATTACCAGTGTGTTATTGGTTATCCTTACTGTACATCTGGCCTCATTACCAGTGTGTTATTGGTTATCCTTACTGTACATCTGGCCTCATTACCAGTGTGTTATTGGTTATTCTTACTGTATATCTGGCCTCATTACCAGTGTGTTATTGGTTATCCTTACTGTACATCTCTCCTCATTACCAGTGTTTTATTGGTTATCCTTACTGTACATCTGGCCTCATTACCAGTGTGTTATTGGTTATCCTTACTGTACATCTGGCCTCATCACCAGTGTGTTATTGGTTATCCTTACTGTACATCTGGCCTCATTACCAGTGTGTTATTGGTTATCCTTACTGTACATCTGGCCTGATTACCAGTGTGTTATTGGTTATCCTTACTGTACATCTGGCCTCATTACCAGTGAGTTATTGGTTATTCTTACTGTACATCTGGCTTCAGCTACTGGTCTTCTTGTTATCCATTACCTGTTGTTGTTAATGTTAATCTGTTAATGTTAATTTATATATATATCTCTCTTAACTTGGTTGTTGTCACTTAAGAACGGTGTAAGAATATACATCGAAACATCGCTTTTTGCATTGTACCAGAAGTTGTTATCCACAAAGTTGTACTTTTTTTTTTTAATTAACTCACCAACTTCTAGAATGCCAATGAAACAGTTAATATAAATATATGGTAAAGCATCCTACAGGGATTGTAAAAGCGGTACAAGTGCTAGCATAAGCCCCTCATTGCAAACCTTTATGTTCCTTTTATTGCAATTAATAGCCTTTATCCAATTCTTAAGTGATTTTGGTAGTATCCTTCTTGTACCGTGGACGTTGTACACTTCGTCCATTAGTTCAGTGGGTCAGTGCACATGCGTGTGTTTGGCGTTGGTTGATCAGGATAGGAGATAGCAATCTCCTATTAAATATGTATACGTATTAAATAGGAATACGCGAATACTAATAGTGAATATACTTACAAAAATGTTGTATTGATTGACTGTTATAGGGCGATGGTCTGGCGTCACCACAGATAACCAGCAATGGTACAACGCCATGAATAACGACATTGACCTGATATACCGCCGGAACTTAATCGTGGCCATCCGGGGATGCGAGGGTGCGGATATGATGTTCTACCAGTTTGTAGGGGCTGGAGAATTCGTGTATGTGCGTATGGGCGATGCTGGCAACTCGTACTCCCTCATGATGGCCAGCACTCACTGTACAGATGATGGATGTAGTGTGGCTGCATACGAAACCGACGCCCATCTGGACTGTGATAACTTTAAGGTAGATCCTGACTTCACCGCTTCATGAATGTAATTCCGCATCTGTCTCAAAATAGCACCAACGACACCATTACATAACACGGGAGGAAAATATGAAAGACATTTACTACAATAATTACAGATCTAAGTATCACGGTCACTGACCATGTACACTCAAACACATTTGCATGTTGATGATGGCACTGCGCTTCTAAATACTGAACAGCAACCACTTATAACACAAATACACTAATACAATATGTGTGACTATGTAAACATAGAGCAATGTACAAAAATGACAATACACAGAGTACAACTCTATCAACACGCTATCGATACATGCACTGAGTCTTACAGATCTATCGGTTCAAGGTGGCATCACATATATATCATGGCCTGGGGTCATGCTACAGCCCACAAAAACCGACAGCAAGTCTACTTTATCTACATAAATACACCATGATGGCCATAAACGATACATGGCTAAACCAACACCTAAACTATAACAACTCCACGCAAGTCTGGCTCATCAATGTACAATTGTTACTCACTGTATTAATTTAAAAGTCAGATTAAGCACACTTCCTACAAATCCCTACACATACAAGGCCTACACTACACATATACCAAAATACATTGATAATACATATAGAAGTAAAAGCGTCCCATTCAAAGTAACCAATAAGGTATGAAAAGCACCCAAGAGAGGGGGGGGGGGGGGGGGGGGGGGGTGGCAGTGAGTGACTGAATTGTGTTTAACGCAGCTTTCAACAGGTTTCTAGTTATATCACAGCGTGTCATCTTAAAGTGGGAGGATAACCCGATGCAGGTGATGCGCCGCACGTACAGGGTTAATGGAGCAGTTCTGAATCTCAGTTCGTTGGCATGAGATATGATCAAAAACGCCCCAGGCACAAAATGTTCTCCTGATAGTTCAAAATAAAAAGAGAGGAAGGCAAAGATTGTTCAATAAGCTATGGCCTCCCGTGGTCTGGTGAGGGAGACATCCTGGTAGACTATCTTTAAACGTCCAGACAATCAACGGAGCACATGAGAACATCTACATAACTGTGTTAAAATCCCTCCATTATCATTGACAAACGTATATCAACGTGGAAGGGAATGATGTTCATGTCTTTGGTTCAAGTTTTTCTATGAGAGGCTCATAACTTACCAATCAAACCTCGTACTATCACAGCTGACTGCCTGCTCACGTGTTCACTCTAACTAAGGTAACCTGGGTCGCTAAGAAAATAAGAAACATGTTTCTTTGTTTGTTGTTTAACGCCGCACCTAGCAATAGTTCAGCTACATGACGGTGGTCTGTAAATAATCGAGTCTGGACCAGACAGTCAAGTGATTGACATCATGAGAATCGATCTACGAAAATGGGATACGATGACATTCATCAACCGAGTCAGCGAGCCTGACCTCCCGATCCCGTGGGTTACTGAAGATCAATTCTATGGCCGGGTCTTTACGGGTACACTACATAACGTATTTGTGAGAAAAGAGATTGACGTTCGTATTGTTTGAAGATACGTCCTGCCTTCAGTTGGCACTTGAAATGTTGACATTGTTTTAGTTTTAGTACACTAGGGTGTCCACGTAACTATTGATCGGGCTTCTTTTGACACTTCCTAGCTTCATCAGCAATTTCATTTAGTTGATCTTTAAAGAACTGAATTGGCTAAGCGCCATTCTTAATTTGTCGATGGATTGACATAAACGCCAATCAGCCTTTGTAAAATTCCATCGGGGTGAAGGTGGATGATCAGTGGAATCAATCGGTTTAAGAACGATAGGGAAATGATCTCTTCCACAGAAGATACTATCGTGGACTAACCATGTGAATTCAGGAATCCGCCCAAGACAGATCTAATTGGGAATATGTACCAGAGTAAGTGTCGGAATCATCATGAAAGATGCAGATGTCATTGTCTGGTTTAAAATCCTCAATCACTTTTCCCTTTGGATTCATGGTTGACCTTCCCCATGTACCCCGAGTGATACTGCAACATGGAATTTATCTTAACGACATGTTTTAATCTGCCATTGTTAAAGAATTAAAACAAATTCAAAATTGATAGAAACAGCTGTTTGATTGAGCTGAGGCTAACGTTTATTTTGTCACGTGGCTTTCATTGACCCTCGGAAAAAGCACGTGGATTTCTTTCTTCGAAGCGGGGTATGAGGGTTTTATTCCCCGGCTAAGAATACACGAGCAGCCAGTATTCTTCGTGGGGGGGTTTAAGGGATTTATTCTTCCTCTCAGATATTTATCCCCCTCGTAGGCGGAATACATGGTATCAAGATCATCTCGTCATTTTGACATGGAGGGATGATAAAGGGCTTTATAAATGAGTTTTTATCTGTTTGTCTCGGCCTACACGGTATTGTATATCAGAGGACCCTGCTTTGCAACGTCTCTCTGTATATCCTGACATGGTCCTCTCTGTATCACATTATGTTTCTTATTGTAAATTATATCGTTCCCCCTAATTATCGTGTCATGTTATTTGCTCTATATTTTGTTATGTTTCTATCGCACATCTTGTCACTGTACATTATTTCTTGTTTACTTCTATACGTGTGGGGTATGTTAACTTTGTTTTCGCATGTCCTATTTTGTCCCTGTAAGTAAGGATGAGACTTCTTTCATTGTTCATCTGGGCCCTTATCCCATCATAAACACACAGTAAATTTTTCTCTGATAGACATTCTGGTTCCGCTGGGACAACTGGGGGAGATTCGAGGTGGGTAAGGAGTCAACGGTCGGAGAAAATCTGATGATGGAAATGGACTACAACGTCAATGGGAATGATGGCGCGTTCATGCTTAGGGCTCTGGAGACTGCAGCAACTTCTGATGACAAAAACGTAGAATTTTACTATTATATAGGTAACTATTGTCAATAAGTTATCCCACATGCCTTCAATCTCTTACAAGACATACATGTGTATATTTTCACTACAAATTGTTTTATTGAAACACTAACACACTCACTATTAGATGATTGTTAAGCCCTTGTGATATGGCGTTGTAGCATTTCGGGGCCTAACCATCATCTGATAGTGAGGGAGTGAGTATGGTGTTAACGCCGTGTTTAGCAATATTTCAGCAATATATAACAGGATTCACACACCGTACCAATGTCGGGAATCGAACCCGGGTCCTTAACCACTTGGTTCCCCCACTGCCCCTCATCTAATAGACAACATGATGCCCAGGCATACTTTATTTCTATTATTAATTCTACTATTGCCTGTATCTTCGTGTAGCTGACTACAGTGGTTCTTACTTTTAGTTTACTTACTGTCTAATATGTCCTTTTGGTCATCAAAATGTCAAGTTGAATAACAATTATACTTCATACATCAAGGTTTTGTTAAATTCATTGTTGACACATTGTACGGCACTATCTGTGGTCTGTTGCTGCACCTTTGATTCTCACCTCCAGCCATGACTGTACCCACCAAAATCGATCGCTTCACAATAAAAGCTAGGTTATATTTTTAAGCTATTGTTCAAGCGTCAACACTAAAGTTTAGTGTTATAGTTGATATTCAGGTTGAGTTCATTGGTAAAGCTAGTTTTAAGGGTTGAATGTATAGTTCAACGTTATGGTCAGCGTTAATGCAGCCTTTTTGATATGGTTCAGTGTTAAAGCTATCATGGTTCAGCGTTGAAAGTTATGGTTTAACCGTTAACATAAAGAATGCAGCAAATGGGTCAGCGTTAATGCAGCCTTATTGATATAGTTCAGTGTTAAAGCTTTGTTAACCCTAAAGCGAATGTTCGGCATCATAGGCATAGGTATCAACTAGGGTTCGGTGTTAAAGCCTGGTGTGTATAGAGAGGCATAGGCTTTGGAGTTAGGATTATGTGTTAAGCTGATGATTCAGCGTTAAAGATGACATTCGGCGTAAAGCAAGACTTTATCGCCACCGCTAACTAGGGGTCAGTTTTTGTATTTCAGCTCTTATTCAGAGATAAAACTGGGGTTGTCAAATGATTTCACTGATGCATTAGAGCGAAATGGTTCATCACAGATTACAGAAATCATGAACTGGTGCTTTTCAATCTAACATGTCTGTGCATTCTGTAACTGGATTTGCTTCTATACACTAATTTGCTGACTACTATTTACTATTGATGTTACTGTGTAGACGAGCCTCCTGTCATGTTGTCACCTTCCATGGGTGGGGGAAATATCATTACCCTCTCAGAGGACACAGCCATTGGAACGGCCATACTAACAACAGCCGGAGAAGACGAGGAAGGGGACGCCATCATTTTCGGCACGTCAGGCAATCACTCCGATATTTTGGGATGGTTCAACGATACTTATTCTACCAACGCAACTTTCGACTATGAATCTCAGAAGGTCTACTACGTAACTCTAGCGTAAGTATCATTATGTATACTAAAGAGTCTCCATAGCTATTGACGGAAGACGGTAAAAGTCATTCGCAATCAGGACTTTAATATCTCTGTTACGACATAACACCATATGTAGGTCGCCGTCTTTGTCATTGTTTGCTTTTGTCATAGGCTAGCAAATGGAACTTTCTTGCTGACGGTTTATTTATTTCGGGATTTCATTGACGGCGCTTTCGTGTGTCATCATTGCGAAACAGATATTGTCAATTCGTTTTTCATATGGATTAGATATCGATACGAAAACCAATCCAATATACTTGGTATGATATTCCGATAAATATACAAATGACATCATCTTGCAGGAAGTGCTTTTTTAAATAAGCTCCATGTTTCGATGCTATTTCGACTTGTTCAATAAACGTTTACCCAACATTCCCGGAAAGGTAAATATGTATCTCGCGATGTTTGGGTGTTTCTATACAAAAACATATATGGTTTCATATCAGTAGGCACCATATGACAAACGCCACAGTTAATTATATCACTGTATACGCATCCATACGCAGCTTCTAAAGTTACTACAGCGAGTGACAATTGTACCGCTTACACATCGATTACGATACAACCTACACCATAGGAACCTGCCTGGACAAAAGTTGGCAAGGCAAGATTAATAAGAAAAGATTATGTTGGGTTCAAGGTCATAGATGAGGCGAAACTGTGGGGCTGTACAAGTTATTATTAGAATATGAGTTGGCTGCAGCAGCAGCAGCGGCATCAGTGGGCAACTATGTTGCCAGCAGCAGAATCCTAAGTTTCTGCTGAAAAGCAATCATGAATTAAGTCACGTCTAAAGACCAAAAGATTCCCATCCACTGAGAAGCAGAGGGATAGAATAGATTCCATTTGAAGAACTTTTGATGATAAGTTGGTGATTAAGTAAATATGTATATTAGTAGCCCCCAAGAAACACGCCAGCAAGCACGCATGTGCTAAGTCCGCACCTACACTGTAAATCATGTGTTTTGATGCCACATAAAAACCTTAGATTTAAACAGGTTTCGGGTTGTGTTTAACAGGTAGACGTGTTTAGGGCATAAATGTCAAAGACAAGAATGCCCCCCTCCCCCTCCCCACCATTGAAATTCATTGTAGGTCATTATTTGAAAAGGGGATGCTTCCTCAACGCAAATCTTGTGATGTTGTACGTGCATCCGCTCAAGCTCCCTGATACGGTTGCCTAACCGTCTGTTGACCTCCTTCCTGGCCATCCTCACCGCAACATATGGTTCCATGCCAGTACCTTCTTAGAAGCATGTCAGACCATAGCACGAAGCGCGGGTATGGTGCTGATAAGTCTAGACAAATATCGGGGCGAAGCGGGATTCGAACCCACGATCATAGGTTCCTGGCGTGCAGCTCTGCTGCTTACCCCTGTGTCAACATCACTGCTCCGACAAAACATGAACGTGTGCAATCCTTTGAAGTCATCTGGTCGTAATAGACCACCCTTCTGGATAAGAAAGGTTATGTTTTAGTCTAGAGTTGTCAGGTGACGTGGCCTCCAAGGATGGGGCGTCCGATTCATGGTGCCAACCTATATGTGTCGAAAGGTTGTCCAGGTTTCCAAGCACTACCAGAGCATTGCTCGCCCCAGTAACCGTTTTGGAAGTCGAATAATTATAGGCCCGGAAGAAATAGCAGGAAAGTCGGTATTTCTAATAATTTCCATGATGGTAACCAAGTTTTGGGATGAGAGGTGCTTGCCGAAACAGGCTGAACCGGGGAGGGAGCTGCTGTAACAGGGGCAGGAGCTGAAATAAAAGTGACGAATTAACGTGGACATTAGACAGGGTTTTTTTTAAGCAAAACACGTTTAGTAACTCACTAAATGCAGCACTAAATGAAATTATTACCCTCTTGTGTTGCCGTCTCGAAAATATCCAACATAAGAAACATAACATGTTTTATTCTCGCCATAGGCGCGCATTACACATTCTCTCCCCTGTGACATGCTGTTTATAACATACTCTGTTAATGATCTCCACACAAACATAAGGAATCATGTCATCGGTACATGGCTCTCGACATTTTAATATTTTATAGTAGCGCCGTGCACATGCTTTCAGTGACACTTCAATGCAATAATAACAGTTATCCTTACAAAATCGCTGACAGGAAATACTGTCTCTTTGAACATATACCAACGAAGACTATCGTGTATGTAATTTGGAATGCGATTGCATTGTGAATGTCCATAATTAACCTTGATGATTATATCTGAAATACATTTAAATCATTCAAATAGTTTACATTAATGATAAGATACATTCCATTAATTCCTTCTATTGCAATATTACATGTATCTACGTGACCGCTGAGAAAAATCTTGAACAGTTACACGGCACACAATGTAAACAGTCATCAATGCTTGAGTTCTAATAATTCTAATTGTTTGAAAATGAAATAGTGAACTATTCTCGATCACCAGAGCTACTGACGGCTTCAACGTTATCAACAACGGTTTGACTTTGTTCATCACTGACGTGGACGACGAGAACCCTGTCATCTCAGCTGGTGACACCGCCGTACAGGAGGAGCTGCCAATAGGGACGAAGGTTTATGCGATGTTTGCTGTCTCCGATGTGGACACATTCCAGACGTTCACGTACGATATAACAGGTATGGGTACAACCTGATGCATGATGGCATAGATATGTGTCATTGCTGATGTTTTAAGCAAATAGTTAAATGTGATAGATTCTACGTTACTTGGAAATATTTTCAATTCATTATTCAGTTTCAAATTAATGGTGCAATATGCTGTCAGTCAGTCACTCAATAACTCCGTCGATGTATACAGGTGCCGACAGTGCATTTTTCACAGTCGATGCTGATGGTGTGCTGAAGGTGGCACAGAGACTAGACAGAGAGGTGAAGGACACTGTGTCGGTGACTGTCACGGTATCTGACTCTGCCTCCCACGACGCCTCGACCGACCTCACACTCACCGTCACGGATATCAACGACAATGTTCCAATATGTGACCAGAATATATATTTCATCACCATAGCAGAGGGCACTTTCGATGGTAAGAGCGCTTTGAGATAAGCTCGTCACAGCCTTCTAACACTCAAGTAAGTGATGCACAAGTGTGGGTGTGGCCTACTAACCAAATCGCCAAATCTGTAAAATATTCAAAACTATCCAGAAGTGAAATAAGAAATGTTTGATTGATACGTTTTAATCTCCTGTTTTATATGTGAATGATTACGTGAATGCAAGTTGTTTAACGCCACAGCCAGCAATATTCTGATACCATAAACCAAGACACCTAGCCTCACGACCTGTCCAATGTATTACTAGTGGCTTCTTGTTAGTGATTGGACTTAATGTACCCAGGGCTCCCACGCATGTATTTAATGGTTAAAATATACATAATCAAACACATGTATTAAATATTATCAATATCTTATGCATTTGTATTTTGCGCCACAAAATATGTCATGCCACATTTTGTATATCTTCTTCAGAAAACATTAAACTGATGGAAGCAATCAACTGCAATGACAAAGACGATGGCAGTTTCAGCAACATGGTCGCAACAATCGTCTCCGGGGACACCGATAACATATTCTACTTCACGGGCTTCGAAATGTTTGGATCACCAAAACAGGTGGACTATGAGTCTCTAGTGGGCAGCAACTACAGCTACTACCTGACTGTACACGTCACTGACCAACCCAGCTCAGGGCCGGTCATGACAGGAACGGTCAATGTCGTTGTTCAGGTACAGCATATGTAGGAGGGGGTCATGATCTAGATCCTTGTTCAGGTACAACATATGTAGGAGGGGGTCATGATCTAGACTGTTGTTCAGGTATAGCAGGTGTAGGAGGGGGTCATGATCTAGATCCTTGTTCAGGTACAACATATGTAGGAGGGGGTCATGATCTAGACTGTTGTTCAGGTACAGCAGATGTAGGAGGGGGTCATGATCTAGATCCTTGTTCAGGTACAACATATGTAGGAGGGGGTCATGATCTAGACCGTTGTTCAGGTATAGCAGATGTAGGAGGGGGTCATGATCTAGATCCTTGTTCAGGTACAGCATATGTAGGAGGGGGTCATGATCTAGACCGTTGTTCAGGTACAACATATGTAGGAGGGGGTCATGATCTAGACCGTTGTTCAGGTACAGCATATGTAGGAGGGGGTCGTGACCTAGACCGTTGTTCAGGTACAGCATATGTAGGAGGGGGTCATGATCTAGATCCTTGTTCAGGTACAACATATGTAGGAGGGGGTCATGATCTAGATCCTTGTTCAGGTACAACATATGTAGGAGGGGGTCATGATCTAGACTGTTGTTCAGGTACAGCAGATGTAGGAGGGGGTCATGATCTAGATCCTTGTTCAGGTACAGCATATGTAGGAGGGGGTCATGATCTAGACTGTTGTTCAGGTACAGCAGATGTAGGAGGGGGTCATGATCGAGACCATTGTTCAGGTATAGCATATGTAGGAGGGGGTCATGACCTAGACCGTTGTTCAGGTACAGCATATGTAGGAGGGGGTCATGATCTAGATCCTTGTTCAGGTACAACATATGTAGGAGGGGGTCATGATCTAGATCCTTGTTCAGGTACAACATATGTAGGAGGGGGTCATGATCTAGACTGTTGTTCAGGTACAGCAGATGTAGGAGGGGGTCATGATCTAGATCCTTGTTCAGGTACAGCATATGTAGGAGGGGGTCATGATCTAGACCGTTGTTCAGGTACAGCAGATGTAGGAGGGGGTCATGATCTAGATCCTTGTTCAGGTACAACATATGTAGGAGGGGGTCATGATCTAGACTGTTGTTCAGGTACAGCAGATGTAGGAGGGGGTCATGATCTAGATCCTTGTTCAGGAACAGCATATGTAGGAGGGGGTCATGATCTAGACCGTTGTTCAGGTACAGCATATGTAGTAGGGGGTCATGATCTAGATCCTTGTTCAGGTACAACATATGTAGGAGGGGGTCATGATCTAGACTGTTGTTCAGGTACAGCAGATGTAGGAGGGGGTCATGATCTAGATCCTTGTTCAGGTACAGCATATGTAGGAGGGGGTCATGATCTAGACCAGTGTTCAGGTACAGCATATGAAGGAGGAGGTCATGATCTAGATCCTTGTTCAGGTACAGCATATGTAGGAGGGGGTCATGATCTAGACTGTTGTTCAGGTACAGCAGATGTAGGAGGGGGTCATGATCTAGATCCTTGTTCAGGTACAGCATATGTAGGAGGGGGTCATGATCTAGACCAGTGTTCAGGTATAGCATATGAAGGAGGAGGTCATGATCCAGATCCTTGTTCAGGTACAGCATATGTAGGAGGGGGTCATGATCGAGACCATTGTTCAGGTATAGCATATGTAGGAGGGGGTCATGATCTTGACCGTTGTTCAGGTACAGCATATGCAGGAGGGGGTCATGATCTAGACCGTTGTTCAGGTACAACATATGTAGGAGGGGGTCGTGATCTAGACCGTTGTTCAGGTACAACATATGTAGGAGGGGGTCATGATCTAGACCGTTGTTCAGGTATAGAAGGTGTAGGAGGGGGTCATGATCTAGATCCTTGTTCAGGTACAACATATGTAGGAGGGGGTCGTGATCTAGACCGTTGTTCAGGTACAGCATATGTAGGAGGGGGTCGTGATCTAGACCGTTGTTTAGGTACAGCATATGTAGGAGGGGTCGTAATCTAGATCCTTGTTCAAGGTAGTGATCTAGATCGTCAAGGATGAGTCCATGTACTTTTAACGGACAGGTAGTTGAGTAGAGGGGCGGGTTTGTTTTTCTCGTCCAGAGGATTAGTGAAAGGGGCATAATGACACTAAGTCATGTCGTCACATTGAAACAAGGACTCCATAGTAGTCGTTCTTCCCTGCACATGCTTTACATAGTCCTTGTAGAATCGTGATCGTCTTGTAATTTGATAAACATAAATAGTAGTGGTAGACTCAATCAAAGCAGCTATCCCCATCACTTCAGGTCTCGTCTGCCAATGAGCAAGACCCGGTGTGGAGCTCGCCCCCTGAAACAGCAGGGGCGTTTCCTGAAGAAACTATCGCTGAAGACACCCAACATGGCGCCGTCATTGTGACGTACACAGCTGCTGACGGTGACCATGGTGTAGACGGCACGCTGTCTTATGAGATAGTGTCAGTCACAGCCAGTAAGTTATATTCTCCTTTGGCGTATGATGTCGTTGAAGAAAACTTGTTATCCTTGGTATCATCTCGGATTCGTCAAATTTGTGATTACCTTTTGAGGAGGTGCGGGCTTACGAATCACAAAGAAATAGTGAAACACATTAAGCATTTCTGGAATATGTATGTTTCAAGGTGATGGCAGTGATGGAAGCGGCAAGTTCCTGGTGGATAGTATGAACGGGGAACTTAGAGCGTCGGACATTCTGGACACTGACACGGACACAGGGGGAGTCTCCCACTACGACATCGTGGTTAAGGCCGTGGACGGAGGCGTCACGCCAAAGAGTGTACAGGCCACACAGAGAATAACTCTAAGCAACGTGAACGACAATGCTCCTGCATTTGAAAACGCTCCACTTGAGGTGACAGTAGCTGAAGACGCTTCCGTTGGTGACGTTGTTATGCAGCTGACTGTTACAGACAGTGACGGCGACACACCAACATTGTCTACAACAGAAAGCACGATGTTTACGACAAGTGGATCGGATCTTGTGACAGCGGCAACTTTGGACTTCGAGACAGGGACCTGTTACAGTGTAGTTGTCAGGTAGAGTCATGTTTAGATTTTCACTGTTTGAGAAAATATACAGTTCAGAAAGATCTGTAAAAACAGAGCAATAACAGAGCCACTGTTATTTTCAGGTATAATTAAAAACTTCTACACAGTGTTAATGTCTTTCAATGTGTTTAACATTGACAAAATACATATATATGCATAACTGTCGGTGTGTAAATACGATGTGATTTTAAATCATAGACTTCTAACGTACAAAAGCTTCTTATTAAAATTGCTGAGTTGACTGAAAAGCCTCCAAGATGGCATTGACAGTAAAAAGTGTTATTTTTTAATCATTGTGAACGGTTTACTGTCATGTTGGCGCAATTGAACATTATTATGAACCGACGTTCTTTGAAATGAAACGCAGCTTCGGTATACGTACACTGGTATACACGTGTTTGATGCAGGTATAGTATTTGTTTCCTATATGAGTGAGTGAATATGGTTTTACGCCGCTTTTAGCAATATTCCAGCAATATCACGGCGGGGGACACCAGGAATGGGCTTCACACATTGTACCCATGTCGGGAATCGAACCCGGGTCTTCGGCGTGACGAGCGAACGCTTTAACCACTAGGCTACCCGACCGCCCCGTTTCCTATATGAAGACATCAATACAACCACTATGATACTAGATACATGGTATATAAGCCAGCTATACCAAATGTAGCAATTGTTGCTGTTTTCTTCGACTCTGACTTATTTTCACTGTCGACCAAAATTAAAACGATTTGCATTCAATTTGTCTACTGTGCTACCACTGTAAACGTGAACGGAAATTACAAATAGATTGGTAACCTGTTTAAGCTTCTTCTGAAAATGTGTTCCAGCAAAGATTATCACCAAAGGGCTACGTGAAATGTAACCAGATACTTAATGTCGCTATAATTATACACTTGCTCGTCTGGACCTACATTCTCAATTCATTGTCATCTGTTCTTTTGCTTGGACTAGTAAATGTGTATTGTGTTTAAAAGTTCCTCAGTAAAGGTTATCCGGTTACTATGTCCTCATGTACCACAGGGGTAACGGACATCATACGATCTGTGTTTACATAGTTTATAACGTCTTTCTTTAGTGCTACCGACGGCACTTTTACGACGTCCTTGTCCCTAACAGTGATGGTGACCAACGTCAACGACGAAGCACCAGTTATAGTTGTAAACACGAACTTTAAAATGTTTGAAGAGACGCCCGTTGACACTGTCCTCGCCGGATCCTTTGTCGTCAACGACGCGGACAAGGGAGACACATTCACCTATAGTCTAGCAGGTGCGTTCATGGGTACTGGCATCTACGAAATGTGCACTCACGTCTGAGAGCTGAGACATTGGACATTTTCTAGACAAGTCACTAAAAGTTACCTATGATAATGTCAATATTGTTGTGTTGTCTGTCTGTATGTTTGTAATGTCTGTCTCTCTTGTTAGAGGTGATCACCACATCAATAGTTCTGACTATATGTAATGGTCGCTTCATAGACAAAATAAGTTTACTGCCATGCCTGTTCAAAGCTGATACTGTTTGCAAGTTATGTATAGCTCGTATTTTAGTGGCATGAAATGTAATATTGACGTATGTCCTGAATAGAATGTGTTAGTATTTGAAATGGTTGGTTCTATTTGTGATATCCTACTGACATCCTACTGTCCTCTGAGACAGATTTTTATCTATTAATTGTTCTCGTTACTATATGGATCAGAGACCGCCGATGTGACGTTAATTTATTACTTACTCACTCATTCGCCTGTATGACTTAATTCAGTGTATATACAACTAAACCACAAACTGCCATACCTCATTAGAAGATCAGAGGGCATACTTTAACTGAGAGTAAAAAATAAAAGGTAGATTTGACACTGCACATGACCTCCGAAAATAGGAATGTCATGATACTGCAGTGTATATCTTCTACATCAACACATCCCTACACACACACACCTACTCACACCTTCATACACACCTGCTCACACCTACACACGCATCCACTCACCTGCTCATATCTTCACACGCACCTGCACTCACATCTTCACACACACACCTGCACTCACCTACCTACCTACACACACACCTGCTAAGACCTACACACACACCTGCGCCCACACACCTGCACTCAGCTGCCCATACCTACACACAAACCTGCACTCACACCTACACACATACCTGCACACACCTGCTCACACCTACACACATCTGCACATACCTGCTCACACCTACACACACACCTGCAGTTACCTGCTCATACCTACACACAAACCTGCACTAACACCTACACACACATCTGCACACACCTGCTCACACCTACACACAAACCTGTTCACACCTGCCCTCACGCCTACACACAAACCTGCTCACACCTGCACTCACCTGCTCACACCTACCCACAAACCTGCCCTCACGCCTACACACAAACCTGCTCACACCTACACACAAACCTGCACTCACCTTCTCACACCAACACACAAACCTGCACTCACACCTGGTCACACCTGCACACGCCTACACACATACACACCTGCACACACATACACACCTGCACACACATACACACATACACACCTACACACATACACACCTGCACTCACCTACACACACCTACACACATACACTCACCTGCACACACCTGCACACACCTACACACATACACTCACCTGCACACACACTTGACTCATGAGGATCGGATACAGTTTGATCTGACAGTAAGTATTGGGAACTATATCAATTCTGTGAACCTTTATAATATATGCAGTCCAAAAAGTACGGAATATTAAAACGAACAGTTTATTGCAGTAACAGGAAGGACTTGGTGTAACATGACAATCTATAGAACATGTTGGCGTTGTATTGTAAGGGTGCCCAAAGAATAATGAAGTCTACAGAGGCGTGTAGTTAAAACATGACCGTTGGATATGAATTGATCAATAATGGGCCATGCGACCACGACAGGTCAAACATTCGTTTGTAGCGTGTCACATGGTCCTAATGAATCTCCCGATGACAATTTGAGGGAGTCTTGTCCACTACCCTTGCAGCGCCTGGCCCAGTTGTAGCGGTGGCCTTTGACATAGGCGTACATTTTATCGATCATGTCCAAGGCGTCCTGTATGGGATAAAGGTCAGGATTCATTGCTTGTTATTGCATTCTGGCAATGCTGTGCTGCTAGAGGCAGTCAGTTACGATACGTGTAAGGTGGATACACAAAACGTGGGCCTGCAACGGCAACAACTTTTGGTGCCAGTATGTTGTCTGCGCAGTACTGTCCAGTGACCCTTTTAAAACATACCCGCAGTGACGTTCTGGCAGCCATAGTGATCCCACCTAATATCATTGGATCCCCACTTCTAATTCGGACATGTTGCCTAAGCTGACGTTCGCGTGACGTTCGTTAGAACGCCTCTAGACACGCTCACGCCTATCCTGAACGACCAGACTGAATATGGACTCATCTGAAAACATTTCACGAAACCATCGGCGACTCCCCCTGTGTCTAAGCACTATATAACAACACTGGCACTTGGATAAAATGTGTCGATTTGTTAACGGTGGTACAACACGTGGTTGCCGAACATGCAGATCAGTTGGATGCAGAATCCTCTTTTGAGCTCAGGTGGCCTGGCGCAAGTGAACAGCGATATGATTGGCTGTATGTGTTCGATTTCCTTTATACTTTCTTTCATTTTTATTCCAAAGTCTGCAAATTACTTTCAGGTAGCAGGTGTGCAGTGACTTTAGTTGCTCTGGGGACAAATAGCATTTTTCAATGTTCTAATGTCAAAACATAGTCAAATGTTTACAGCTCTGATTCTTACTTTAAGACCAAACTGAGATATACTAGTTGTTATACTGGCCATCGTTGATAGATTGTAATGTGGTATTATGTCATATCATATCATTGCATAACTTATTCTAGTCACGATAAGGCAGAAATACTGCCGATGTGAGTTTTAACTCACTCACTCTACTTCTTTTGGAGATATATGAATCCTAAACGGTAACAATTTCAAATAGTAATATTCTACCCATACAATCCATTACAATGACATACTTATGCCGTCTATATCGACTTCTCTGAGAGTGATTGTTGCGAGAGTGTTGTCAGCAATCCTTCTGCTATTCGTGGCTCATTTAACTGTTTGAGTGCCATACTTCTGCAGGAGCTGATGCGTCATATTTCACGACAACAGCATCTGGAGACTTGAAAATAGTAAATCGAATCAGCTTCAGTCTTCGAGACGTTGTCTTTGATGTGACCGTGACGGACGCCGCCGGACACAGTGCGACGGAGACGTTGAGCATCCCTGTGGAGGACATCAACGACAACTCTCCTCGATGTGAACACAATGTGTATGAGGTGGAGGTGAAGGAATTAGCGGGAGGTAGGTGAATGTTAGCTATGAATCAGATTGAAGTGACAATACCTGTATGTTCTAAATGGGCGCACCTAGCATTAATTGTTAAAATTCATGTAAAATGGTTTGCGATTTAAACTGTCCTTTTGATTAGAAAAAATAGTTGTACAATTAAGAATAGCCATATACAAATAGCTTAAAGTTTTCTGTGACTTACCATTTATACGCTGAATATAATTAATGCTCCAGGTTATGTCAAACTGAAGGACGCGATCACATGCACCGACAGTGATGGGGGAAACAACGCAGTTCTGCAGATCAATATCACCAGCGGTGATGACAGTGGAGTGTTTGCATTCAACGGCTTCGAGCTGTGGGGAACACCAGACAACATCGACTATGAAGCTCTTGCCGCCACTAACTATCGGTACTACCTGACCGTGGTGGTGCAGGACACACCGGACCACGGAGAGCCAAGAACAGACAATCTCGCATTTATTGTAACGGTAATGCGTGTCTTTAAGGGTTTCCAATGATATTGATAACCTGAATGTTCTTTCATTTTAACCAAATATAGGAATAATGAATATCAAATGAAAAGTAAAAGCAACACATAAGCTAGCAACCATTTGATTTTCATGGAGAGGGTATTTTTCCTCGCATTGCAAAAACAAAATCTACCATTTTCTTGCAGACAGTGGTATTTAAATATTGTGAAGTCAAAATTTTCGTTCAAAACTACTTTTATAAAGTGTGACCTGACCAAGACTGTTCAAGACGGGACGGCATTAGGAACGAGCGGATATTGGCACTTCACAACCAGATGCTTCGGGCGGGGGATTTCGTCTTCTTGGAGATGGAAAACTGTCATTTCAAACCGCAACCGACACAGAGAAGGCACAACCCAGGAAGCAAGCATATATATGTGATAAGCCAAGCTTGATCGGCGTAGATAAATTACACCAGGGGCTGCTTCCGATGGTTGGATGAATAAATGTATCTCACTGGACAACAATCACCTGCCCCAAAATAGGCAGCTCCAGCCAGAAAGGGCTGCCAGGCTTCGGGCTCTGACCAACCTGACCCGCAGACTGTAAACCGTGCACCAAATAAGACAGCAAAGCAGTAAACAACAAACTCAAGAAGCCAGCTTATAGGTTTGGGTGCTGGAATGCTTGCATCATGATGACTGAATTGTCGACGAAACTGTGGAAGATGAGTGATGTTCGCAAGACTACTGTCTTCAACAATCAACTCCGAAGACAGCAAATGTACATCGCCATCATACAGGAAACACGTCTGACAGTCACTGACACTCTGTGTGAGAGAGACTATATATACGTTATTCTGACCAAACCAGAATGCAAAGGGTCGGCTGTCAAAGAACTGCAACATGTACAAGAACAAGGGTGATAGAAGCGTTCGTAACAACTATCCCAAGATATCTTTGCTGAGCATCGCAGGAAATCTCTTTGCTTGTGGTGTGGTCCTGAACAGACTACAGAAACATGCTGACAGTGTGTATCCCGAATCGTAGTGTGGATTCAGGGCAGACCAACCCGACATCTTCGGAAGCAGCCATTCTATGTTGCATAGGAAAGATTTAGACCTTGTGAGCCAGATGGCTTCTCAGTAGGATCTGGTCACTCCACGCTGACATGAAAGGTTCTGTGCACTTGGACGGCACCTAATCTGACTTTTGTCATTTCTGCAGTGGAGTAAAGCAGAGCTGTGGACATGAAGGGCACTTCCTCTATCCTTTTTGAAATCTTCTTCGCAGTCATCTTGAAACACGCATTTGGACTGTCAACTGTCTACCTCTACACAAGATCGGATGGGAAGCTGTTCAATCCTGCTTGCCTGAAGACAAAAACAGAAACACATTTCCATTCATATACCAAATGAATAAACACCTGTTTATGTTTGAAGCAATAATTTAGCTCTACACAATTGTCAAATGGTCGCTCCCCAACCCAGCTGTTTTGTCATGCAAATACTGTGACCAATTAGCCACTGTGTGTTTCTCTATCCTCATTGACTCATAAACTAAGCGGCAAAAGAAAGTATAGGTTGGCAATGTGTAATTTTCCTAAAAACAGCGATAACTAGTGGGAAGTAGGTATTGGGAATATGAATGCCGAGGAACAGGTACAAAAAAAAACCTCACCCGAACGCGCCTCCTTTGACGGCGCTCTTGCGGTGACAAAAAATGTGAAACAGGTTTCCCGCCTATGGCATAAACTGCACGTATAGCTGTATAAATGCGTTCGTCTGCAGGGTATAACCACACGTGATGAAAGCACACAAAAGAAATTCCACGACTGTCCCAGGTGCAGAGCGAGAGAGCCATCGGTATGGCCGAAAAGGGGGCAACACAGGTCAAAATTGCCAGAAGGTTTGGTTGTACACCATTGACAGTAGCCAGGCTGATCCAACGGTACAGGCCTAGAACCGGACGACCCCGAGTGACAACACCACTGGAAGACGGTCAGATACGGCTCATTCACCTGCGAAACAGATTCGTAACGGCGACGGCGACGGCGACGGCAGCAACAGCGTTGGGACATCCCATTAGCCAACGTACAGTACTACGACGACTTCGTGCTGCTGGAATCCGAGCGTATCGTCCTTTCCGAGGAATGGTACTGACTGCTCAACATCGACGCCTGAGACTGCGATGGGCGAGGCAGGTTCGACGCGTGCAAGTGAGAAATTGGCGTCGAGTGCTGTTGACTGATGAAAGTCGGTTTAACTTGTTTCGAAATGACGACAGAGAACGAGTTTATCGAAGCAGAGTGGAACGTTTGGCTCCGGCGTGTATTCGAGAGGTCCATCCATTCGGTGGGGGAGGTGTCATGGTGTGGGGCGGTATTTGTGGAGATCAGAAGACTGATTTCGTGATTAGGCAGGGAAACCTGGACGCTGTGCAGTACAGGGACCAAATGTTGCAGCCAGTTGTGCTTCCGTTCTTACAAAACCAACAGCAGGGGACATTGCTTTAACACGACAATGCCAGGCCCCATATTGCAAGACTGACTCGGAACTTTCTAAACCAGCAGAACGTTGACGTTTTGCCCTGGCCTGCCCGCTCACCCGATATGAATCCTATTGAACATCTGTGGGACCATCTTGACAGACAGATTAGAGCACACCATCAGCCTCCCGTCCACAGACAAGAATTGCAGCAGGCCCTGAGAGACGAGTGGCAACGGATTCCAGTCCGAGGGATCAGAAGACTGACGTCATTCGATTAGGCGGCGTATCACAACATGCATTGATGCAGCTGGAGGTCATACACGCTATCGAAGGCAACTGTGTCGACAATGAACTTGTCGTGTGTGTGACAATTGTTTGGTAACATTTCAGACAACTTTTGAAAATGAAATTTCTTACCCCACCATTGTTTACCTTGAGCTTACATTACTTGTGATTGCACAATTTCATTCAAACTGTGGTTGATCAATCATTTGTTACCCCTCCCTAGATTATATAATAATTCATTACAAAACCTCTTCTTGTTATTATATTATTGATCATGGAACGCGACCTATATTTTCTTTTGCCGCCCAGTTTATTTGAACACAGACGACCACTTGTCATTCGGGTATATTCGACTCAATATATAGTTCGTACTTCATAGCAAACCACTTTGTAGTTAACGAAAATGTAGGTGATAAAATGACAAGTGAGAAGAAACATTAATGGCACAATACATGAAATGTTGTCATGTGGTGTGAAATGTGGATCCTATTTTCTAGGTAACGGGAGAAAATGAATTTACTCCCGTGTTTACCAGCCCATCGTCGTCAGGGGGTAACTTCGTGGACGTCACTATTGCCGAGGATACGAGCCCAGGCTCCATATTGGTCAGTCTGGTTGCCACGGACCAGGATCGCGGCGCAGATGGCAAGGTTCAGTATGAGATGGTCTCTATCACGACAGGTGAGGGTCGAGTCGAAAGGACAAGTACTGCACCCAACAATAAGCAATGTACTGAATCTTCCTCCGAAACTCCTGCTTCTGTTTTCCTTTTGTTCAAGTTGGCATTTCTTCATTTTCCAGACTCAGGCGGCGACGGCAGTGGTGTGTTCTTTGTTGACAGTATTAGCGGTAACGTGTACGTGGGGAAGCCTCTTGATTCAGACACTGGCACGGGAGGCGTAGCTTTCTACGAAATGGTTGTCAAAGCGGTGGACGGGGGTTCAACACCACTTGAAATCGAAGGAACAATGAAAGTTACCTTAACAAACGCAAATGACAACGCCCCTGTGATGACCGTGGTCCATGACGTGATGATGTCCGAATCAGCGGCCGTTGGCGATCTTGTGGTGGAGGTAACAATCACAGACGCTGACGGTGATACTCCAACGTTAACGCTAGGAGGAGACCACGCCGCCTCTTTCTCCGTAACCGGTAACGAGATCCTGTTGCAGAGTGCACTAGACTATGATGACAGATCCAAAGCTTGCCTGTCACTGCAAGTAACGTACGTATCAAAATGGTGCTGAGGTCGACATCATTTACACATCATACTATATGTTATGTCGGTATCTGTTTAAAGTCAAGCTTCAGACAACTATGGGAGCGTATTAGTACCACATTCTTAAACTATAAGATCATCTACGAAGATGATACTTTCATGTATGTCATCTACGTATATGTTATTATAATCGTGCATATCGTTACTCAGTTGCAACCCTAGTTGGATGTAGTTTATACAAAGACTTTTATTTTAAATAAAAGTAAGTTAATTCATTTAAATGTTTGGGAACATGTTGGTCGACTTTTTTCCTTGGGTATGTTCGGTATTTTCACAACACACTGAGGTAAGTTATATTGTCAAAATGTCAGAGCGCTAAAAACACAAAACAATTCATTTGACAAAACTGCAGAATTGTACCATAAGTGCTTCATATGAAGATGACGACTATTCGTTTGGTTTAGCTTTTATACACCCCTTCATGTTCACGTTTCAACCCTTTTACCTGATTTGAGTCAACAGATTCGAGTGATTTATTCCGACTTGAACGATGTTATGGCATAAATATATAATTTCGCTATAATTCTGCATAATGACCTTAAGTTGCGTCTGTCTTACTTACACGAAATGCATGTTCAGAGTGGCAAGTGCATTTCTGGCTCAGAATCAACAGAAACAACAAGAACGTGACGTCATCATAAATATTCAATTTCAAAAGAGTTAATTATTTTTTAACGAATTTTGAATAATTTGAAAAGCTTAGTCGACTTTGTAGTGTGGGGAAAATCACTTTATTAGGGTTATAAGAGGGTGCAGCGGGCCTCATCCTTCTCGCGGTCTGTCAGCCGCCCCACCCTCGCGTTGTGGTTCGCGCGTGTTAACATAAACAAATATTAATGGTTTTGAACTAACGTACATCCTTTAAAAGTCCATCATAAATGGATGGCCAAGGTTAGAAAATCAGGAAATATTAGAGTCGGTCAAATATCACATGACCAGTCCAGACTTGACCTGGTGCTAATTTCTGGTCAGTACTTTCGACACATTTAAATGAAGAATTTCTTTATTGAAGGTTCAGGTCCTACATCAATAAAGACGTGTCAAGGTTGAGAGTCAAACAAATCGGCCATTATGAGTGAAGTCGCGGTTATATAAAACTGGAGAAAATATTGTTACCAAAGTCGATATATCGACAGCAGAAAATACTATCTTATGTGTAGATAATAATATCATATAGGTAGATGTGAGTAGGATGATCTACGTAAATGAAAGCATCATCTACACAGATTAAAGTGTCATCTACGTAGATGATATTTATTTTACATTGTGGGGCTAATATGTGTCCATAGATAACGTCCCATCACTGTAAATCAAACTTCTTGTGCTATTGCAATGTGAATGATACTTGTCTTGTCCATGTTGGAGGGGACCAAGCTACAAGAATGTACGGCTGTACCTGACAGGACGTGTCAGTTGCCACATGTTCCATGGGTTCCAGTTCGATTCTGCAAGGTGAACTGATGTTTAGTAGCTCCATCGTGGCTCTCTGTGGTCTACAACCTCGCTGACAGACACCACATCTATTTTAGTGCTTCTGACGGCTTGCATGCGGTAACCGAGGCGTTGACTGTCACAGTCGAACCCGCCAACGACGTCAACCCAAGCATTTCTGTCAGCGCCGATCGCAGAATGTATGAAGGGCTGCCGATCGGGACGATTGTAGCGGGCATTTTTCAAGTCAGTGACATTGACGAAGGGGACACCTTAACATTTAGTTTAAGCGGCAAGTATACTCGCGTGTATATAACTGGTCGTGGGGGTGGTACAACGACGTACAAACAATATATTACAGGGCCAAGCATGTACAGTATCAATGTATGCTAATGACCTTATCATACAATTAGCGTCAAAGAGCGACGAGAGGTCCTCAAGGCTCAAAAAGAGAGCTTCAAGCCCTGATGATGTATTGGGACTATTTTTCTAAATGACTTTAAGTGGTTTTATAGTGTATGAGTGAGTGAGTTAAAATTTTAAGGCACGTCAGTTATATTTTCACTATATTGAGACTAGGTCAAGTTATGCATATCATAGTTCCTGAAACCCTGCCATCAAAGGAATGTAAACAGTATGGGGACATACAGTACCTTTGTTACCTGCGTGGCTCCCCAGCAGGATTTTATACCATCCATTCGGAAGTATGCTGCGATTAAAAATCGGTAGCCAAAAGATACTCGAGTCGATTGTGGAAGAAACGTTCTGTTTCCCGCATTTCAAGCAGATTAATAAGCCTATTAAGTTAGTTACAACTAATATGTGTGTAACATTTAGATTTCTTGCCTGTCTTGTAACTTCTATCTGAGTTTCTCCTAAATACGTTCGTGAAGAGTTTGTAGGCTTCTTGTCATCCAGGTCTGTGACTGTACGGCCACTAATTTGTGGTTTGAGTGGAGGAGGTTTGATTGACTCTATCATAAAAATGTCTCACTATGTGCCTTTTTTTTCTGTAAGCTGTAATGTGTGGGTCTTCGAACGCTTATTTAAAGGCATCTGACTCCTTGGGTATGTGCCAAGAGATTTTTATCATAGAACTTACCTTAGAGTGCAGTAGGGTTTTAATCTGTGGGATCCTACCAACGATCCACCGGCTGTAACACGTCATACTCGTCCACCATCCGTAACACGCCCCACCGGTCCACCGGCCCTATCTGTCTTGATACAGCATGTGTAGGCCCTTCCACCGGTCCACCAGCTGTAACACGCCCCACCGGTCCACCGGCCCTATCTGTCTTGATACAGCATGTGTAGGCCCTTCCACCGGTCCACCAGCTGTAACACGCCCTACCGGTCCACCGGCCCTATCTGTCTTGATACAGCATGTGTAGGCCCTTCCACCGGTCCACCAGCTGTAACACGCCCCACCGGTCCACCGGTCCTATGTATCTGAATACAGTACATGTAGGCCCTTCCACCAGTCCTCCTGCTGTAACAAGCCCCACCGGACTACCTGCTGTAGCACCCAGACAGTACACTGGCTGTAACATGCCCAACCGGTCCACCGGTCCTATGTATCTTAATACAGTACATGTAGGCCCTTCCACCAGTCCTCCTGCTGTAACACACCCCACCGGTCCATTGGCTGTAACACGCCCTACCGGACCACCTGCTGTAACACACCCAGACAGTACACTGGCTGCAACATGCCCCACCGGTCCTCCTGCTGTAACACGCCCAACCAGTACACTAGCTGTAACACGCCCCACCGGACCACCTGATGTAACACACCCAGACAGTACACTGGCTGTTACATGCCCTACCGGACCACCTGTTGTAACATGCCCCACCGGTCCACCTGCTGCAACACGCCCCACCAGTACACTGGCTGTAACATGCCCCACCGGTCCACCTGCTGTAAAACACCCAGACAGTACATTGGCTGTAACATGCCCCACTGGTCCACCTGCTGTAAAACACCCAGACTATACACTGGCTGTTACATGCCCCACTGGTCCACTTGCTGTAACACGCCCCATCGGTACACTGGCTGTAACACACCCAACCGGTCCACCTGCTGTAACATGCCCCACCGGTCCACCTGCTGTAACACACCCAGACAGTACACTGGCTGTAACATGCCCCACTGGTCCACCTGCTGTAACACGCCCCACCAGTACACTGGCTATAACATGCCCCACCGGTCCACCTGCTGTAAAACACCCAGACAGTACACTGGCTGTAACATGCCCCACTGGTCCACCTGCTGTAACACGCCCCATAAGTACACTGGCTGTAACACACCCAACCGGTCCACCTGCTGTAACACACCCCACCGGTACACTGGCTGTTTTTACACGCCCCTATGGTCCACTGGCTGTAACATGCCCCACCAGTACACTGGCTGTAACATGCCCCACCGGTCCACCTGCTGTAACACACCCAACCGGTCCACCTGCTGTAACACACCAAACCGGTCCACATGCTGTAACACACCCCACCGGTACACTGGCTGTTTTTACACGCCCCTATGGTCCACTGGCTGTAACATACCCATCGGTCCACCGGACATGGATATCTAAACACAGCACAAGTAGGCCCTTCCACCGGTCCACCTGTAGTAACACGCCCCACTTGTCCACCGGACATGTGTATCTAAATACAGCACAAGTAGGCTTCCACCGGTCCACCTGCTGTAACACACCCTACCTGTTCACTGGCTGTAACACACCACCGGTCCACCTGCTGTCACACACACCACCGATCCAACGGCTGTAACAGGCCCCACCAGTACACTGGCTGTAACACGACCCTATGGTCCACTGGCTGTGACATGCCCACCGGTCCACCGGCCTGTAACACGCCCCACTCGTCCACCGGACATGTGTATCTAAATACAGTGCAAGAAGGCCCTTCTCCTGGTGCACCTGCAGTAACACACCCGGCCGGTCCACTGGCTGTAACAGGCCCCACCATTACACTGGCTGTAACACGGCCCTATGGTCCACTGGCTGTAACATGTCCTCCGGTCCAAAGGCCTGTAACACACCCCACCTGTCCACAGATCTGTAGAACGCCCCACCTGTCCACTGGCCCTGTGTATCTTAATATATCACATGTAAGCCCTTGCATTGGTCCTCCTGAAGTAACACGCCCCATCGTCCGACCTGCTGTAACACATACCACTGGTCCACCAGCTGTAACACACCCCATCGGTCCACAGGTATGTAACACGCCCCACCTGTCCACAGATCTGTAACACGCCCCACCTGTCCACAGGTCTGTAACACCCCCCACCTGTCCACCAGCTGTAACACACCCAACCTGTCCACCGGCCCTATATATCTTAATATAGCACATGGAAGCCCTTGCATCGGTCAACCTGCTGTAACACGTCCCACCTGTCAACCAGCTGTAACACCCCGCTGGTCCACAGGTCTGTAACACACCTAACCTGTCCACCGGCCCTATGTATCTTCATATAGCACATATAAGCCCTTGCACCTGTCCTCCTGCTGTAACACGCCCCACTGGGCCACTAGTCTGTAACACGCCCCACCTGTCCACCGGTCTGTAACACGCCCAACCGGTTCACAGGTCTGTTTACACGCCCAACCTGTCCACCGGCCATATGTATCTTAATATAGCACATGTAAGCCCTTGCACCTGTCCTCCTGCTGTAACACGCCCCACTGGGCCACTAGTCTGTAACACGCCCCACCTGTCCACCGGTCTGTAACACGCCCAACCGGTTCACAGGTCTGTTTACACGCCCAACCTGTCCACCGGCCATATGTATCTTAATATAGCACATGTAAGCCCTTGCACCTGTCCACCGGTCTGTAACACGCCCCACCTGTCCACCGGCCTTTTGTATCTTAGTATAGCACATGTAAGCCCTTGCACCGGTCCACAGGTCTGTAACACGCCTCACCGGTCCCCCGGCCCTTGAATCATATCATTACTATGTTATATCATTGTGCTTTGTAAGAGAAACCGGCTCACACTTTAAGGCATCAAAATATCTCCAATATCAAAATTGGTCTTCAGCTGATGTTGGAGTCACGGTCTGGGGTAATAGTGATCCCTGCTAGCTTTTGTCTTAGAAAATCATTTACAAACAAATACTAACCCTTTTGCATATTGTGTTGGCTACCGGTTGAGAATGGACATGCTTTGCCTTTTCACGGACATCTGGTGTCATGACTGATTTTCAGTGATCCATTGATATAATCACTTTTTATCCCTTTTACTCTTCCTCTGACGTCGATGTTTTTTATGTAAATTACTAATGTGTTTATACCATCACCGTATAATGCAATATATAATATTAGTTATTCTAGCTTGGATAACCTATATTATCATGATTTGTTTAAAACCATCTGAATGTGAATAACCTCTGACAATTTCCTCCCGCAGGTCCGCATGCCTCTTTCTTTGACATTTCTGGTTCAGGAGAGTTGACCATCAGCTCCACAGTTGATCGAGAGACAGATGGAGACACCCTGACCATCATAGTGAACGCCACTGACGCCGCATCTAACGTCGCGTCTGAGACCATTAACATCACTGTAGTCGACATCAACGACAACGCCCCGAAATGTGAACAGTTATTGTACACTGCAAATGTTGAGGAAGGAGGCACGAACAGTGAGTACCGTCAAATGGATTCAGGTTTGAGATGGGGTGGGGGATGGGGGTGGTCCGCGAGATGACACCTGGACGCTGGTATAGACTGAAACAAACAGCGATACATAAATATGTCGTGGTCATGTCAGATTAACTTTAGTCATGTGAAAAAGCGGGGTACTTTTTAACTTTGTAGTATACACAAAGAGCTATTTTCAAGAGGGACCGAGAGTTGAATTAACTAGGATTAGCACACGCCATAACATGTACAACATAATTTTGGTATCAGGTTTGGTTAATAGGCCAATGTTTATGATATTGATATAGGTTTATTTTCGTTCAGCGGTTGGGTAGCCTAGGGGTTAAAGGCGTTCGCTCGTCACGCCGAAGGCCGGACAGTGTGTGAAGTCCATTCTGGTGTCCTCCGCCGTGATATTGCTGGAATATTGCTAAAAAGCGGCATTAAACCATACTCACTCACTCTCTCACCTGTTCAATAAAACGAATCATGTCATGTTGGAATCAAAATATTATTCTGTATTTTATAGATACTCAGGTGTTCATGAAGACCACCTGTGAACATTTAGCATGTTTAATTTCTTTATTCAGTATAAGGCCACAGGCCCATGGACAAATAAATATTGACATATAGATTACACATATTGGTGCAACATTAAACAAGTATCACACATGGGATGAACGTAATACAATAGCCTCTTTAATATATTTACAGCATTGAAGTAAATCAGTTAGTTTGCCTGAGCTTATATGCTTAAGTAACTGGGATTTTACAATATGTATTTGGAATGTGTTTCTGTCTGATACCATCATATAATGGACATGATTGCATAAAATGTAATTCCGTTTCAATGATGTTCTTACAAAAAGGACAAAATCTAAAATTAAAATCAATATTACTTTTTATTCCAATATTCACCATGATATTTAATTCTCCAACAGTGATAACATTCTTCTTAGTTCTTTACAAGTGATTTTTAAAATATTATAACAAATGCTGTTTTGAGTGACGAATAAAATTCTAAATGTTTATTATCATTAACTTGTGAATGCCATGTTTGTATATAGCAATCTTTAACTCTTTGTGAAAACTCACATATAAATGAATCAGTGTGACCAACAGATTGATTTTCCCATTCAAAACCAAAACCATATAAAGACAAAATATTCTTAATGTTAGTAGCCCATGTAACTCTTCCTACTTGATCTAATCTATATCTCATATTATAACATTGTCTAGGATATCTTTCATTTGATAAAGTGGTTAGTTTACACCAATATTTCAAACAATGTACATAAGTCTCAAAATACAATTTATAGCGTCCACATTCTCCCAAAATAGCAACATTTGTACAAGATTTCCCGACACCATGTAAATATTTACAAAATTTAGTGTGTATGGCTTCTAAAACATTCCATTTGTGGGTTCCCCAGATTTCTGAACAGTAAAATAATATTGGTTTTATTTGCGTATCAAACATTTGAAACAATATTGGTAAAGGAAGGCAGTTAAGTTTAATGTGTAATTGCTTAATGGGAATTAAGAGCTTTATAAGCTTTCTGGACTAAAGTTTGCACACATTTTGACCATGATAATCGGTTTGAAAATACAACACCTAAATAACTATAAGATGTTCCTATCTTTATATGTACATCATCATAAAACCATTTTTCAGCATTTTTAGGTTTTCCACCATTTCGGAAAACTAATATTTCAGTTTTATCAAAGTTAACTGGCACTGTAGAGTAATAACATTATCACCTGTAGAATATCCTTTGCGAAAACCCGCCTGACACTCTGGTAATTTGTCATAAAAACATACAAGATCGCTGAGTCTTTTGTTAAGAATAAAAGTAAATATTTTCCCACATATGTCCATCAAAGAAATGCCTCTATAATTATTAACATCACATGTACTTCCTTTCTTATGTAAAGGAAATATAATTCTCTTTGACCACTGTGGAGGATATGTCCCTTTCGTAAATATGAAATTGAACAAAATCTTAAGGTAAGGTAACAAACAAAATACTCCCACCGCATTTGTAGACCGTCAGGACCAGGTGCTTTATTATTTTTTAAAGATGAAATAGCAAAGACGATCTCATCTTCAGTTATAGGCTGGTTTATCATGTCATTTATACCCTCATCAACCTCCAAATTATCTATACTCTTCGAAAAAAGAAACTTGACATAGATGTAAAACTACTTTTTGCCAAATATCTAAAATAATTACATTAAATGAGAACCAAATAAGTCAAACAGAAAGATAATGTGTCCATAATTCGCGAAAACACATGCAAAGCACATAAACATAGCGTTTGGGGATCAATTTGAGAGCTTCATCCAAACGCAACCGCCTGTAAAAAACGTGCAGCACAGGATCCTGCATTTAGGCATGCAGGCCCCCCTGCTGAATGGGTATAAAAATCCACATCAACGGCTGTTCATACAGTCCTTATAACGGCAGTAGAGGCGGTGACCGAATGCCAAGACTGAATGCAGCTCAACGGAACAACGCCATTGGGAGATTACAAGCTGGAGCAACTCAGCAAGAAGTGGCCAGGCACTTTGACGTATCCAGACAGACAATCTCCGCACTGTGGACCCGATACAACAACACCAAGAGAGTTGACAACAGACCAAGGTCAGGAAGACCAAGGGTGACAACCCAAGCACAAGATCGATACATCCGCCTGCGACACATCCGAGACCGCACTACCACAGCCACGTCTACAACCACACATATCCCTGGGGTACGCAGAATATCAGATCAAACGGTACGCAACAGACTGAGGGAGGCTGGACTTTTTGCACGAAGACCTGTTCGACGTCATGTATTGACCCCACGTCATCTGGCGGACCGTCTGCTTTGGTGCCAACAGAGGGTTAGATGGGCACGTGCAAGGTGGAGAAATGTACTGTTTACTGACGAGTCCCGTTTCCTACTGCTCCCTGCTGATGGGCGCGCACGTGTCTACAGACGTCGGGGTGAACGTTACGCCCCCAAAAATGTGCAGCAGGTTGACCTATTTAGCGGCGGGAGTGTCATGGTATGGGCCGGAATTCATCACGGTGGTAGGACGCCTCTCGTGCATGTGGCAGGTGCATTGACAGGTGTGCGTTACAGAGACTTGATCCTACAGCCTTACGTTCTTCCTCACGTCAACGTTCATGGCGGACAGTTCCAGCAGGACAACGCTCGACCGCATATTGCACGTGTTTGTCAGGACTTCTTACAGCACAAGAACATCCAGACATTACCTTGGCCAGCCCGGTCTCCAGATTTGTCCCCGATTGAGCATCTGTGGGACGAGTTGGATCGACGCGTTCGCAGAAGGAATCCACCGCCACAAACACTTCCGGCGCTTCTTGATGCACTTCAGCAAGAATGACAGCACATCCAACAGCGTGTCATTGACAACTTGATTGCATCTATGGGTCGTCTGTGTCAAGCGGTGATTGATGCATGTGGTTGGCACAACCGATACTGACATTTGCTGTACCCCTGTGACATTAACTGTATCGTGTACGTGTGTCTGTCTAGGTGACACGATTAATGTTTTGAACATTGTGTACATCGATCTTCAAACAGTGTTTCAATTATGGTTTCTGTGTCCTATTTTGAAACAATCGCATTATATTACATTTTGAAAGTCAGTGTCCATGGTGACAAACTATTCTTGGCTGAGTTTAAATATTTTGCACTTACCCCTTAAATACTATTTTATGTGAATTCGTATTATTTGTATTGGTTTTGTTTGTATTAGTGAGGCCGGGAGGGAGTTAAATCCGCTTTAAACAATATCCCAGTAATATCACGGCGTGTCAGCTTGATGTGGGAGGAAAGCCCAAATGATGCTGGTCTTAGACGTTAACCACTTTGGTGAAACCAATATGCACAGGTATGGTGATGGTAAAGTTAGAAACATGATAAGGGTGAACCAAGATTCGAACACACAATCATAGGTTTCTGGCGAACATAAGGGACGTAACTCTGCACAGCAAATTGCGGCGCCCTAGAGGACTGGGCTACCCGTGCCCTTGATTTTTTAAGTATTGTTTTTAGGAACCGTCTTACTTTTGTTATATACACCTGGACATTAATTAAGCACCCCCTGTTTTTAGACCTTGTATGTCTAGCGATATGGCACCACTCGCGTCCAGTCTGAAACAAGATGGAAAAATACAGTGTAAAAGTGGGAACCACAATAACTATTGATCTGGAAAGTTGTATGATCGGGGAAACATGAAATTTGCCGTCCGGAAACTTTAATTGTAATCTCATAAAGACCATCCAAATCCTTAAACTCAGTAACGACTGTAATCGACACGAAACTACACCAACAAAGTCTTTGCCTTTGGGTGGATCATAATCATGCATATGTAACATATATTTCTTTCTTCAAATCATAATATCTGGTTGTAACTTATGTTTACAATTACAAACATTGTTTGTGAGAATAAGACTACCTGAAGAATAATGTTCATAGACCCTTAACACCTGAAAACATCAACATAACATCACCCATCTAGAACATAGACCTGTATTAGAAAAGAACTAATACCAATATTCGATGATACAACAGGGCCCACTTGCACAAAGCGATCTAAGCTCTACGACTATCGTAAGCCTTTGTTAAAAGTATGGGAGTTACGATCATCTTAGCGCTAAGGTCGTTTAGTGCAAGTGAGCCCAGGCCCAGAACCTATCCCTAAACATTACCCAAGCATGACCAAGTGTCACACATTCCGAATGTTGGATGTGCAACATCGTCAGGTTAATTGCTCATGTTGGCTCCTGGAATAATGCCGGTCGCGGCATTGGTGGCAATATACCGAATCGCTCGGGTGATAGATTTGCTCATTATCATTGATTGTCAACAAGAACGTGCTGGTTGAAATATATTTTGTTCAATCTTTCCAAGGTACACCTGCAGTAAATAATAAATAGATTTGGCTTTGAAGGGCCAAATGATGCCATATGTTATATGACGCCTTTTCTCGTCACAGGTGATCAAAAGATCATGTCTGCCCTAACTTGTAGCGATGCTGACGCTGGTGATAATGCGGCCTTCGTGGCGACGGTGACCGGAGGGGACTCGAGTGGCTTGTTTCAGTACAAAGACATGGAGTTGTGGGGCGATGCGAGTCAAATAAACTATGAAGATCTCGAGGCCACAGACTACACCTACTATCTGACAGTTGGCGTGTCCGACACGCCTTCAAAGTGGCCATCCCTCACTGGTGTCGTCATGGTGGCCGTACAGGTAGGTAGGTGAGGGAGAGGTGTATGTTGCTAGTAATTTGTTCCAAGTCCAGATGCTCACATGCCTTGGTATGCAAGTTCCACGTCTTTCAAAGTAGTTGCACGCAGGCCCTTTAAGCGTATCTGTCATTTCAACTTGTGACTTACTTTGTGATTGTGTCACCAGTGACCAAAGGATGCTGCTGTGGTACCACGTAGATAGAAGAAGTACATGTACGGTGGCCTAACTGTGGTTATTGCTGACATACAGCCCGTTTTTATTCTGTATTGTTACGTATTATTATACAGTTTATTGTTACACACTATACTACAGGGCATTAAACAAATAAGAACTGGTTTTTCGATGGTGATGTATTTGATACGGGTATATTTGTGTTTTGGATCTTAAGTTTGCAATATTTTGGCGACTGTTTTCAGTCTAGTAACATTTTGATAACGTTGATAATTTATGGGTCAAATCCAATTTTCAAGTGTCTACTTTACTAACCATACTTTTAGATTTAATTATAATCTAGTTGTTTTACTGTATTTTTTCGACAATTATATATATTCTAAATTTATCATTAGTGTATAATTTCTTCTATTCACTATATGGCTGACATACCGCCAACGCCACTATAATTTTTAACTATCTCACACACACATGCATTGCTCTCTTAATGATGCTATGTATGGCAGAGTTGGTGTATTCAAACGTAGGAATGTATAAAGATTATATCTGCAGGTTTCGGAAAAGAACGAGTTTACCCCGGCCTTTACTTCTCCGGTACCAACATCTGGTAACTTCCCCGATGAGATGCTTAATGAAGATACGGTCCCGGGTACAGCTATCGTCACCTACGTAGCAACAGACGACGACCACGGAGACGACGGAAGAGTGCACTATGAGATCGTCTCAATTACAACAGGTATAATAAACATACTTGTACTAGTGGTACCATGGAGTGGTAAGATGACAACCGAAATTATCGTGAACACAGTGCTTCCACTTTCCGTGACGTCGCTTCACCTAGTATAGATATGTCCAATAACATGAGAACCAAGTAAGTCCGAGTCTAAACGGTTGTCTGTGTTGTGAAGTGACTTAACATTCAATAACAGGTAGTGATATGTTTAATACACAGACACAGGCAACAGCGCACCAAACACATTTGTAATTGACCGAGACAGTGGGAGTCTACGTGTGGGCAAGGCTCTGGATGCAGATACAGGTACAGGAGGCGTCGTTTCCTACGATGTGGTCATCAAGGCTGCTGATGGTGGCTCTACCCAGAAGGAAACTCAGGCTACTCAGAAATTGACGCTTGTTGGTGTCAACGACAACGCCCCTGTGTTCACTGACGCCAACTTCAAGTTCTCAGTGGCGGAAGACGTTGCTGTAGGCCATGTTGTAGCAACGTTAGGTGTAGACGACTACGACGGTGATCCAGTTACATTAACCGTTACCGGGTCACACACAGCAGTTTTCGAAGGTGATGCGACCGAGCCGAAGATACTGACACTGGCGGCTCTTGACTACGAGACAACGAGGTGCTACTCCGTGGAAGTCGAGTAAGATGACTGTTTTGACTGTAGTCTCCTCTTAACTATAGGTCATAGTTTGGCTTCCATTTCCAGTCAAGTTAATGGAGTTGCACTTTATGGTTTATGTGAAGTTTAGACATCGTATACACCACTTTTATTCATTTGGTTAGCATCGGGCAAAGAATGCAGAGAATGAAATTAATTTTGAATGAAACGTATTAGTAACATACACTGGAGGTGTTCCGCCTTTATCCCTTCTGGCAGAAGAAAGTCTCTCTTTATCAAATGATATTTCTATGTTTCATTTTCACAACCATGCAGCGTGCCCCCACCATGTGTGGTCCGACTTCTGAAAGGAATGCATGCATGGAGAAATTCTGTGTGTCGAGGTGGGGTTGAATGAGTGAGCAACTTTGGTTAACGCCTGATCCATGCGACACGAGGGCACGCGTCAACTGTTTCTGTTTGGGACGACATTTTCCTTTTGTGGGCTAAGTATGCACAATGCACGGTCTTATCGAGCCCTTGATCCTATTAAAAGGTTTTAATTCACACATATTCATATATTCTAGTGCTTCAGACGGGACATCATCCTCAACAAAAACTTTGACGATCGCAGTGACAGATATTGCTGACACCGCCCCAACACTTACGGGCTACGACTTCGTCACCATTCCAGAGGAACTTGACTTCGGGACGGTGATAGGTCGCCTGTTTGAGTTAAGCGACGTGGACACACAAGACAGTGCTACATACGCCCTCAGTGGTACGAATGGGTAGGGTAATAAAACAGAAGGTGTAAAACGTGATCGATAGATCAGGTATGCACCTTAAAAAGCAGTTAATAAGACGAAGAAGATGCAAATTATCCTTCATTTCGTTTATAAATTTCCTGCTCATAAATTTATGAATGTCAGTGGGGTCAGTACGTTGGCTTATCATGCCGACATAGATGACCTGCATGGGTGCGAAATATTTGAAACCCATTCCTGTTGTCGTGGTGTTGCTGGAATGTTGCTGAAGGTGGTGTAAAGCCATACTCATCATATCTTTAAGAATAGTCTTCTAAGAGACTACACGTTCTAAAAATCTGAAACACTACTTTGTTGCGGAACCGCACATTTCATATTCAGATTTGTTCATGCAAGTAAAGTAAAATAAAAATAATTAATTTCTCAATCTTAGAACATAACTTAAAATTAGATATTTTTTGGGATACCACAACAAAAGAACTAGAGAGATGCCTCTTTATGGCTAAGTGTATAGGGCCATACAGTGACTTTGGGATACAGAACAATAGAAAACTGTTTAAACTTAAACGTTGCTCAGAGGGCAAATCAGAGTTCAATTCTTAATGCCAACTCAAGTAACAATTGAGTTGTGTTTCTATAATGCCATTTCTACAAATATTACATTTAACTAGCTCAACGTTTGTGTAGATAATGATTAGTAATTAATTTCCTGCACCACTTCTTAAACTAAAGTTTTGACATTGTTGCCATGTTGCAAAACAGGATAATCTTAGGTCTCAGAAAGCGATGTATCAAGATACTTTGAATGTGTCTCGGCATCGCAATGTTCTCTATAGCTAAAAGAATATTACACCGAGATTAAGCTGTCCTATCTCACCAAACAGACCACATAACACAATCAATTAACAACTAGGTTGATTTTGTTTGATGGCTAAGATTACACTAAACGCAACATCCAGCTAACCAGGAATATATCTGGTAAGCAACAGTGCCTTAATACTGTTTTTACTTATTTCTAGCTGCGTAAAAGAGAGTATATGGTGTCCAGTTAAATTTACGTTAACGCCCTCTTACACAACATTTCACCAACATTTCAGGCACTGACAGCAGCAGCTTGGCTATCAATGAAACATCTGGCCGTGTGTTCGTCGCAAACGCTATAGATGCTGACAACGGAGTTACGTCCCTCGGTGTCACCGTCACTGTCACCGACTCAGCTGCTCTGACAGGCACTGTCGATGTTGATGTCGCTGTTATTGATGTAAACGAATTTGTACCAGTGTTTGGGGAGCAGATTTACAAGGCAACTGTAGAGGAAAACAGTGCATCAGGTTAAGAGACTTGTTCGTAACAGTTCTTTCCGAGTGAAGGAGTAAGTGAATGTGGGCAAGCAATAACATACCACGGCTGCCTGCATGAGGTGGTGAGGTTAAACGCCGCCTTCAAGAATTTTGCACATATATAGCAACGAGCATGCACTGAGATACCATGCCGTAGTTTAGCATGAATACCTCACTCAGACATAGTATACTGACTCCGAGCCGACCAGTCCTTGTTTAAGCCCCTTAATGCCGAGCGCCAGGAACGGTGACAACAAGTACCATCTTTTAACGTCTTTAGGTTTAACGAGGCCGGGCATCTAACCCCTGACTTTCCGCTCTCTATGATAGCGAATAACAAATCAAGATACACATTGTGATTCACGATCTCCAATGATGGGGGCTGTTATACAAGGCACATAAGCTTCTGAGGATCTTTCTCGTCTGCTACAAAATCCCGCAGCTCTTTCTAGCATGGTTGATGTCCGTTGTTATATTGTGAACTGGGGTGACTGACGGCGAAACAAACGAAACATAAACTGAAAGAAATAATAGATTCACGAACTGCACGCTATTAACAAATTATACGTGTAATGTATTCAATGAGAGCTGTTTAATTGCAGAATCAGACATTTTAACCTGTATGTGCATTTTCCAGCCAAACTCGTGGACGTTGTGTGCACAGATGACGATTCAGGTGTCAACGGTGACGTTGAACTAGTCATACCCACTACTGACGGCGCTGACACGATATTTTCCGTATCATCGATGGAGGTGCACGTGGACGGTAGCCAGTTGGACTACGAGGCACTGGAAGGGACAGGATATGTATACTCTCTGACTCTGTTGTGTCGAGACAAACCAACACACGGCAAGCCTCTTACTGGCTCCGTATTGGTCTCCGTACAGGTACTTCGAAACTTTTCTAATAACATACACTGTGTGTGCGCCCCCTTTTTAAGTTCACTAAACATGTGAAAATAGTTTAATTTTCAAAACATCTGTATCTTCGCTTGGATAATGTAAAGTGGCACATATATTTTACAGATTACCGAGGTGCATGTTATTAATTTAAGTTTGAACGTGTGTTGACCTTGACAAGCTTGAGCAGTGTGGTTGGTAAATGCAGGTGTCTGGTACTGACGAGACCCCTCCGGTGTGGTCTTCCCCGACGGTTGACGGCAGTAATAACTTTCCGGGGGTGACGCTATCAGAAAGTGTGAACCCTGGGGCGATGGTGGAGGAGTTCACTGCTACTGATGTGGACAAAGGGACACAGGGGAGCATTAGCTACAGCATTGTCTCCGTCATCTCAGGTGAGACGGAAGTGATGGTATTTCTCAAGGGACACTAAAGGTGTGCATAAGGACAAATGGACAAAAACAAAGGGAATTATAGGTTCCACGGTTTGGGCTCATATCAATGTCTAAGTGTAGATGTAGGTCAAGCGCCTTGTGTGAATCACGTAGTGTGCGCAATCATACAATCAATTATAATATATTGTTATAGATTGGTTTTTGGTTTTGAGTTGAAGTGAAGCAGACGAGCTTAAGTGATCTGTACATGACAGCAGGATTCATGTGTTGCGGTTTCGTCCCAGAAGAAATATATACATCCAAGTGTGCTGTAAACTCAACCAGCCAACCCTTTCGAGTCAATCAGCACGTCCCAATTTGTCAGCTCCAAAAAGAACTACATGTCTTCATGTTTCATACTGGTGGAAACGTTGTAAGCGGTTTAGTCAGTAAACCGTGTTTGTTTTGTAGCCGGCTTTGCAGAGTCAACTAACGGTTGTAAACCCGAATTGGCCAACTCTGAAATCTCTTGGTGTGTTGAATAAGAACTGGGAATTGGGTATTAATGCAGATTGAATAAACATAATAATTTTCGAATCTAATAAGAGCAGTGATATTTCTTGTTGATAATATTGGTTTAACTGTAATACCAGAATGTGTTTCGTTCCGCCTGACTCCTACTTTGACATGTGCGCTTGTGAATTACGGCTTTTCATGTAAGTCTGTTGTTGTAGTTGAATACAGTAATGGCTACCAACCACATGTCAGATAGTTGTCTATATCTACTTAGTGGCCTCAATAAGCTATTTTAACTGTAACCTAAACACGCTATCAACATTTGGGTTGACATTTCTACTGGTTTTTCATCCGTCATCAAACCAGATTACATCATATTATTCCTGTTATAACGATTTTGAAATACTATGTATTCCCGGTTCGTAAAACCGCCGTAGACATCCTGTCAATACTGCATTGACTTTGTTCACATTGTATGTGTATGGTTTTTTAAAAAGCAAACTAATCCGTTTCTTAAAAACTGACACGATACTGAACCATAATAGTGAGGTTTGAAACAAATATTACATCAACCAAGAACAATTACTTCAGCCCTTGTAGTCTGAATAAAATGTACATATTAGAATTTTGTCTGAAAGGATACGATCTACAAAGAAACATATTTTATTTCTGCCTGCATGTCATTTTGTATATTGTGAACAAAGCACTGTCTGCGAGATTATTTTAAGTATTTTCATTTATATTTCCTAATCAATATTTATTCATGGATTGTATGTTTATAAAACAACAATCCATCCAGGAAACCAATGACAAGGTGTCCTCTCCATTTTTCTTCAGTAATGTACACGATGGTAGAAGGGAAACCATTCTTATCCCTCATTCTTTGCCCTTGGCAGAAAAAGGTCAAAGAATTGCGATTGTCTAGTATCAGTTGAAGTAATAGGTATGTTTATTTCAATTATTTGCAGAACATTGGCATTGAACATAATTAGTAAATGGGATGCCTGTGTCGTATTTTCCTAGATCTGTTCGTGTTTTGAGGAGGGGTAAGGTGAAATGGGGTTTAACGTCGCGTCCAAGATTATTGCACTTATATAGCGTGCACGTGTGTGTGGCTGCTTGTACTAGTCCGGACTGATGCCGATTTATAGTGCTAGCACACTGAGATACCATGCTGCAGTTTAACATGAATACCCCACTCAGACACAATCTACTGACTCCGAGCCGAGCAGTCCTTGTTTTAGCCCCTTAGTGCCGAGCGCCAGACAGGGTAACAACAAGTATTAACGTCTTTTGGTATGACGCGGCCGGGGATCGAACCCCGGACCTTCCGCTCTCCGGGTGGACGCTCTACCAGACCACGGAGGCGGTCTTCGTGTTTTGAAAGTCCAAGTGATAACCAATATGTTTTGTATTCTCAGAAATGGTACAGTAGGCACATAGTGCCGAATCGTTTTATTCTATCTCAGTTCTATAATTCAGAGTAGAATCGTATAAAATGCATGAAAGGTATCGTCGCAACATTTTCCTTATTTACGCAGTGCAACCAAATTGTACATCCTGTAAGAGACGAGACGAGACTAGCCTTGAGCTGTTGCCTTTTCGAATAGCAGACGCGATTTGTGAAATGTTGGCAAACATGTTGACGAGCATAGAGTCTGGTTCTATTTGTCACCAACAGTTGGCGAACCATCCGGAATGTGTTTTGTTGACAAACACGGATTCGCAAAATTTTATGTGTGACGCCTCCTTACGATTGTTGTGACGTCGCATTGATATGCAAAATATTGTCGGTCGTCTGTCGTAAACATCATCTCCTCAGAGATCATTGTACGAATGAAGCTGTACATGTTTCTTCCAACCAATGACGACAGCTGCACTTGTTAAAAAAGTTATTCATGGCCATTTCTCAAACATTTTATGTAATGAATTTGATATTTGTGCTTTTGGTAGTTGTTCTCTTCTTCGCACTATTTTATATAATGATCTTTATTTGCTCTTTGCATGTGCAACCATGCTCTTAAAATCTCCCAAGATACATATCCTCCCACTGTAAACATCATCTATGACCAGTGAAGCGGATATGCCATGTGCTCATTATTATGAAACCTGAATGGGTTCAAGAGGTTCTTTACATCCCAGATGTCAGAGGAGGAACATCCCCTGCAGTCATTTACAAGGAAATACAAGTTCACTGAACGCATCTTTTAAATCAAGAAGATTGAATGTGCCAAGAGTGCCCCAGTCAGCGTTAGTGTTACTCTAGCACCCGAGGAAACATGTATACCTTGGAAATGGTCAACACAAGAGTCTGCTGAAGTTGGATTGAAGCATGACCTGAAGTGATGAACTCTGTGTGCCTGTGAATGGAGCTTATGACATGTATATGACTCTCAATAAAAGTTTTCCTCGTTTATCAATGCAAATATGCATACTAGTATCCTCCAATCTGTATATATTATTTTATAACTAAATATTACATCATATGTTATTTTTCATATACATTTAATTTTATAGACATAGTTCTAATGATGGGTTACCGAATTTGCAAAGATTATTTTTTGCATCAGTTCTTTCTCTGATAATGCAATTTGCATGAAAGTCCTGTTACATGAAAGTCTTGATCGATCGTACATCTTGATTTGGTATCTCTTGTAGATTCAAGCGCTGATGGCCGCGGCATTTTTGGAATAGACGTTACTACCGGAACACTCCAGACGAATATAAAACTTGACGCCGACATAGCGACTGGCGGTGATAGTTACTATGACATTGTGGTGCAGGCTAGCGATGGCATCAACAACATCACAGGAACTATCAAAGTGACACTCATGGATTTCAGCGACAATGCGCCACAATTTACCAAGGAATTCTATACAACTACCGTCCCATGTACGACATTGGTGGACTCTACGGTGCTCACTCTGGCAGCAGACGACATAGATTCTGTTGGGTTTGCTGAATTTCGCTTCAAGGACTACTCAGGGAGCATCTTCACAATGGAGGCAAACACCGGCAACGTTGTCCTCAGCACACCCACATTCCATATAGGGGAGGACATCTATCACACACTCGCGGTGACCGTTACAGACTCGGTGAATTCTGACCTGATGGATGAATCCACTGTGTACATAGAGTTGGAATACTGTGGGCCATCTAATGCTACTACTTCTAGCTCCACTGAAAACCCAGGTCAGAGTTATCATCATGCTGCGTGATGGCTTCTGAAAACCATATGAGGGATCAATAGAGTTTGCTCTTCGTTTAACTCAGTAGTCAGCAATATCGACTACAGAGCGCTCATATGTTCATGTTCGGACAGTTATTGGTATAGGTCAGAAATAAACAGTTATTGTTTCTGTGGTGCAACAATGCCGATTGTCTCTAATGCATGTTTCCTTATTGGCTGCAGGCCCGTACAGTTAATCCTGAAAACTTCTAGAATAATTATATCTGGTGTATACTGATACGATACCTCATACGCATATCTGGCACACGATATATATACTTTGTTGGTGAGTGAGTGAGTATACTTTTACGCCGTTTTTGGCAATACTCTACTAACATGACGGCTGCGGTACCAGACTTATACTTTGTAAGTGAGAGAGTAAGTGAGGTTTTACGCGGCTTTATGACAATTCTCTACTGACATGACGGTGGGGGAAGCAGACATATACTTTGTTAGTGAGTGAGTGGGTGATTATAGTTTTACGCCGCTTTTGGCAATACTCTACTAACATGACGGCTGGGGTATGAAACATATACTTTGTTAGTGAGTGAGTGAGTAAGTGTTGTTTTACGCCGCTTTTAGCAATACACTACTGACATGACGGTGGGGGCACCAGAAATATACTTTGTGAGTGAGTGAGTGTGGTTTTACGCCGCGTTTAGCAATACTCTACTAACATGACGGCGGGGATTACCAGATATCTACTTTGTATGTGTTGTATGCTCATTTCAGGCTGTGAGCAGGTGACTGATGATTCCGCCGTTGTTCCAATGAGGATAGTCACAGCAGTGCTGGCAGCCGGGCTCATAGGTGTGCTGGGATTCAGCCTGAGGAGCATGTAAGCAGCAGGGATACTCACACTGATTGTCAAGCATATGTAATTGTAGTAAATACGATTGGGATTTAGCATCAGGCGCTGCACTTTGTTTTTGAAACCGTGAATATCAAGGCCGTTCTCGAGGTCATAGGTTGGCAGACAAGTTTTAAACCATCAGTCAAGAAGCATTCACTGCATGTCAATGAAACGTGGTACATGTTATCCTCCGAACAATCTGAAAAGGTTGTGAGTGACCTATGTATAAGGCCAAGGTCAATGTTAAGATCATCTTGAATATTGTTTGCCATTCTCACTAAACTGTCCTTTTATGCAGACTTGCATGCGGTGTTAATATTGTGGGTTCTTTTAATATATCTACTTATGTATGAGTTTGTATTGGTTGTTTTACGCCACGCTGAGCAATATTCCAGCCATATGCATGTAAATAATTATGACTGTATCTCATTTATAACCCTATATAATGGCAGTCATATTGACAAATCTATTTTCGGCCATTATGGTTCAAAATGGAATGAAATTTGGTACGTCCACGGTTGGTAGTGAGGCTCAGCATATATGTTCCGGGTTTTTGTGCGATATTTTACGTGTTGACCTTTTTTATCATGCATCATATAAGGCATACTGGCTCTGTTAACATCTTCTCCCCTGAAAATGACAGACTTAGGAAGCTGAACTTTGGCATGTTTCTCCTTACAATGAGATCATATTTTATCCAAATATCTGATGTTAGTGTTCGTGTTTAAAGATCAATGCTGACAGCATTTTTTGTTTGTATCTTTGTTGACATCTTAAACTGTGGACTACCTATCCAGGTGATCTACAGATGCCTCTTCTTTATTATATTCAACCAAGCGAAATCACATTTGGTTTATTTGTTGGATAGCCTTAAGAATGAGCTTGAACTACTGATAATGAGGGTCAAATTCACCATAGTCTCAATATTCACAAATGTTAGTGCTCGTGATAGCTAAAGAAGTATTCATTGTTGTAGGACGAAGTCTGTGGCACATTGTGGAATGATCGTTTGTTGTGTAGTTCTGCTTCTTCTTGTACGAAACCAACCCTGTGTGTTTGTCGGTGATATTTGTGAGAACAAGCGACCATGTTTTAATTAGAAATAACAAATCATGTGATTGGTTGAAATTGAGGGTCATTTAAGTAGACGTGAATAAGCTTTGTTATTAAGGTAGCTTTCTGTTTTAAAGATGTCTTGCATTACATATGGTTTTTTTCCAAAGCCAGGAATGAAGTTATTCAACCAGAAGTACATAAACTCGAGGCATGGGACTTTATGGCATGTATTGCATCAAACCAGAAGTGATATCAATCAACTTGATGTGCATATATTTTTCATGCTCATGTTGTTAAGTGCTGTGGATTTTCCAAACAGAGAAGTCCTTATAACTCAGCTTTTGAGGAACCTAGGAGCACATAACTTTCAGTTTTCATTGGGCATATGTATTGTCAAACCAGACGTTACGTAACGCGCTTGTAACTTTGCTATTAAGGTAATTATCAACACAGGATTTTCTGTTTCATTTTATACATATTTTCAATACGTGAGGAGATGTTTTTTAAACTTTAAGTGTTTATAACTTTGTTATAAAGGTAGATGCACAGTTGTGTGGCGTTCAGAGGACATGTGTGTGGTTGCAACTTCTTTACATGCAATGCAAACTTTTATGTTCTGTTTTACTAGACTAAGTATAGAAAGATACAGAACCTTTTTACGATCTGACACCGCCCTGATGGATTCTCTGGAATTTTATCTTTGACATGCGAATGAAAGCTAATATTGATTTCTGCTTGGCATATAATATATACATTGATCAGTTGCACATTTGCTGTGTTTCTATTTCTAGATTATCAGTGTTGAGACCGGATGTCCCAAAAGGTAGGTAGCTGGAACACAGTTTTAATAAAAGAGATCATCTTGGTGAGCTATTTACCTTTAACTAGTTACACAACCTATGCGGTGGAGACTAAGCGAGAGAGAGAGAGAGAGAGAGAGAGAGAGAGAGAGAGAGAGAGAGAGAGAGAGTATAAGTACGGCATTAATCCGGACTAGTACAAGCACACACACACACTCGTACACACACGTAGACACACACGCGCGCGCGCACACGTGCATCAAATATCAGAGACTAAGGGAGGCAATCTTAAAACGTCTTGATTAAGTTCAAGGTCTGAAAGTGCACCATGGTATGTCACGAACTTAGGAACTTCAGGGGTGCTTCTGTTTTCGCAACCCCTGTAGTTTCACACCTTCAATCATTCGAAACAAAAGTCGCTCAAAAGCACAAAATTGTACAGTATCTAACAATAATACTAGGTGATACAAATAAGACCATATAGATTACTACCGTTTGTGGTGTAGTAATGTTTATAACCTACTAGCCCCACTAGTTCCCACGCCCGTGGCCGTGCGTGTACCCGTCTCACCGTACCACATCACACTCAACCACGCAACCCTACTCAGAACAGATTTGGCGATAGCACCTCAGATTACATTTATGTTTTAGTGTCGCCGACATTTATGAAGAATAAAGCTGGTTTTGAGAGACCACTCGAACCCGAGCCGTCTATCTACGTTGAGGATATGGTTAGTAGTCATGTAATGATAAACTGTAAATGATGAGTTGTGTTCTCCGACGAGTTATGATATCGCCCCATACATACTCCCAAAGAGATAATATTGTGTTTCGAAGAACATTAAAATTAAAAAGTTTTGTTTTTTATGTGCACCTGGCAACTTAACAATTATTGTGTTATGTTCACATTTAAAAAAAAAACATTGGTTAGTATCATGCTCCCAATGAACAGGCAAATATCCAAATGATGCGATGTGCATTTATGTGCACGTGCAAATTGTGTAACACGGCCTTAAAGTCGAGGAGATGTCTTCATGATTATGTATTGAATAATGCATTATTTAATTTCAGAATAAATATATTTTTATTGAACTTATTGAGCACAGTTACTTTTTGTCCGTGAGTATATATATAACTGTCAATGATAAATAGGTAATCAATCATCTCATGTCATTTTGTTGTCCACTATGTACATATGCGCTTCCTTACACGCATCATTACAATCAGATCTGTTTGGAGGTCGCGTCGGGTGAACTGTAATCTGTCAATCAGCGTCGAGGCTTCGAAATTCTCGGACGGAAGCGAAACATCCAGACAAGCATATCTGAATTCTGCATCTCGAAAACAAATATAACCGGGGACTATCAGAATAAAGCCGCGTTAGTATATTATTATTACATGGGACTATCAGAATAAAGCCGCGTTAGTATATTATTATAACTGGGGACTATCAGAATAAAGCCGCGTTAGTATATTATTATAACCGGGGACTATCAGAATAAAGCCACGTTAGTATATTATTATAACCGGGGACTATCAGAATAAAGCCGCGTTAGTATATTATTATAAACGGGGACTATCAGAATAAAGCCGCGTTAGTATATTATTATTACATGGGACTATCAGAATAAAGCCGCGTTAGTATATTATTATTACATGGGACTATCAGAATAAAGCCACGTTAGTATATTATTATAACTGGGGACTATCAGAATAAAGCCGCGTTAGTATATTATTATTACATGGGACTATCAGAATAAAGCCGCGTTAGTATATTATTATTACATGGGACTATCAGAATAAAGCCGGGTAAGTATATTATTATAAACGGGGACTATCAGAATAAAGCCGCGTTAGTATATTATAATAACTGGAGACTATCAGAATAAAGCCGCGTTAGTATATTATTATAACATGGGACTATCAGAATAAAGCCACGTTAGTATATTATTATAACCGGGGACTATCAGAATAAAGCCGCGTTAGTATATTATTATAACATGGGACTATCAGAATAAAGCCAGGTTAGTATATTATTATAACTGGGGACTATCAGAATAAAGCCGCGTAAGTATATTATCATAACTGGGGACTATCAGAATAAAGCCGCGTTAGTATATTATTATAACATTCTATTTTGAAACAACTTCTTACAGACTGGGGGGCGGTCGGGTAGCCTAGTGGTTAAAGAGTTCGCTCGTCACGCCGAAGACCCGGGTTCGATTCACGACATGGGTAAAATGTGTGAAGCCCATTTCTGGAATATTGCTTAAAGCGGCGTAAAACCATACTCACTCACTCTTACAGACTGGACAGGAGCTAGAATTGCACTAACTACCGTAAGTGAGAAGATGAACACATCTCGAGACAAAATATACAAGCAGTTAGCGAGAAACCATTTGATTTTCAGGGAGGGGGCGGAATTGTTTCTTTAAAAAATCAAGCCCCTGTTTTAGCGAAAAGAAATATGCCTCGCATTATAGGAAAAAAAATAAGGTACCCTTTCTTGCAGACAGCGTGTATTTGAATAATTTGAAGTCAACTTTTATTAAACTGTGACCTGACAAAGATTGTTAAAACTGGGGTGGCCATGGGAACAAGCAGCAGCAACCTGGCACCTCAAAACCAGATGCTTTAGATGACGGGTCCTTGGCTGGTTGATCCCATCCATGGGAGATGCTAAGAGGCTAAGAAAAATCAGATGTTGGAGTCCCTAGGTCAGTATGATGTTGTCATCAAAACTCTTAAGGCAGCTCTTGCAACATCTCTGATACCAGGTGGTATTTTGCCGTTCCCTGGTATCCATCAGCGAGACGTGGAGCGGGGGACCTGTTGCACGAGCATCATGCTGCCCAGGCCTGCGCCCTGGAGAGGAAACTCCAGCATTGCCTCACAGTGACGGCTCAACCCTAGAAGCAGGAGTCTACCAGTGATAAGACTTGCTTTAATGACATAGAATTAGGAGATAAACCTACTGTGTATTGAAATTTGATGTAGTCCCACTGTAGAATAGATACCTCTTTATTATAATCTTGAACCGAGCGCTTTAGCCTGGCCCGTGGGCTGTACACTTTGCACCAGTCAAGACAACCGAGAAAGAAGAAAGAAACTCAAGAAGCCAGATCTTAGGATAGGATGCTTGAATGTTGGCATCATGACGACCGGATTGTCAGTAGACCTCTCGGAGATGAGTGATATACACAAAACACTGTCATCAACAACAAACTCCGAAGACTGCAAGTGGACATTGCCATGCTACAGAAAGCCCAGCGTCGGCTTTGCTGTAAAGGACTCAATGCTCAGTATGATGGAGTCTGGCAAAAATGGACATGGAGAGACTTCTGACCCTCCAGCCCGTCACATTTAATAGCCTTGTTGGGGTGTACAAGTGACGAGTTCCAGTTCTGCGACCAGCTCCAAACCATCAGCAATGATCACCAGTCAAGAACAGCTGCTACTGCTTGGTGACTTCAATGAAAGAGTTGGTACTGACCACGAATCATGGCAATAATGTCAGGGACAAGATGACAAGAAGATTACAGCTGGATGTCTTCTCGAGCTGTGTACACACCAGTACGTGTGCCGATTCCTACTTCCAGACTAAGCCTCAGCACAAGGTGTCCTGGAGACACCTCTGTCAAAGCACTGGCACCAGCTGACGTGACCCATAATGGGATGACCTCAGATCTCTTTAACGGTAGCAAAAACTAAAATCTGATTTTAAAGAGATTGGACGCCAAATAAAGATTGGATGGGACCATCTGAGAGACACATTCCACGCTACTGCACTCTCACCCTCTGGGAAGAAGCAGGGGAAACTCGTGACTGGCTCGAAACCCACTCCTGCGAGCTCATCCCTATCACTGAGGAAAGGCGCGCAGCATTAACAGAATATAAACGCTGCCCCAACCAGAAGGGCCTGCATGCTCTCGTAACAGCCAAAAGCAAAGTCCAGGAAAAATAAAAGAAGATTAACGTCTACTGGCTGCAGCTCTGAAACGGCATTCAATGGTCTGCTGATGCTGGGAGCATCCAAAAAGTGTACGGCGGCACGAAAGCCATTAATCCAACTTTAAGCATCATGGCTCCCCAGCAAGCAGCAGCTGGCGAAACAATCAGTGACATTGGCAAGCAGATGGAGATATGGGTTGAGCACTTCTCTGAGGTGTAGCCAAGTAAAAACATTATATTGGGCTATTAGCTTGAAGCCATTAAGCGCCTGCCGTTGATGGAGGTGCTGTACAAGAAACCCTTGGTAGAGGAGCTAAACAAGGAGGTTGTAGAATGGATGGGATCACTCTTGAGCCCATTAGGTCCGGAAAGGAGGTTCTGCTAGCCTTCTGCATAAACTTCTGTTAGTGCTTGGACGAGTGAATGGTGCGCATGGACAGGAGAAACTGCAACATCGTCCCCTCGTACTAGAACAAGATGATAGAAGTGATTGTAACAACTATCGGGGGATCTCCTTGCTGAGCTACAGAAACTCACTTATTGGGGGGCTCAGGTGACCCACTCGTCTAAGGCGAAGTGCTGTACATGTTTGTGTCTCTTGGGCACGCCAGAAAACTATGTGGGCTCGAATCCCGGCTCTCTCTGATTACGTTTCCAGGTTTTTCAGCTCCATTTCTGTGCTCGTGGGTTTCTCCAAAGTGGTAAACATCTGAGACCTGCATCACAGGCTTTCCTCCTACATTAAGCCGACACTGGAATGCCGTTAAAGGCGCACTTGCTCATTCACACACTCACTCACTAATAGGGCATATCCCGAATCGCAATGTGTCGTCAGAGCAGAACAATGTGCGACCAACATTATCTTCGCACTCCATCGACGGCAAAACTGCAGAGAGAACAAGCAGACACTACACGTCGCTTTCATCCTCCTCAAAATAGCCTTCAACGTTGTGAGCAGAGGTTGTCAAGACTGACTGCCCACCCAATGTCCACAGCATGATCTTGTCATTTTACACTACAATGAAAGACATCGTGCAGCTGGATGGTTCTGAAGGTCTCCACATCTGCATTGGAGCAAAGCAGGGCTGTGTACTTGTCTCCCCACTCTTAGAATATTCTTATCAGTTATGCTGAAACACGTCTTGGAGCCTCGGTTGTCCTGAAATATACCATTTGTCCTGAAATTAAAGAAATATTGTTGTTGATGATTAATACACCCTGTCGTTTCTGAATGTCATAACATCTACACCTTTCGTCTTATAAAGGTGACATCCTTTTGGCAAGTTACTCCAGCGTTCACCTTACGCGACCTTCAATGGAGCTGTCTTCACAGGGGTGTCGTATTGGAGTAAAAGATTTTAATGAGACTGGTTTCAACTGACCGTATGAAATGTTCACCATAGAGTTATATTTCGTTAATAATTCTGCATCAATGACTTACGTGACTACTATTACGCTGCAGAAGTATATATGTTCTGTATCAAATATTTACCATAATAGATATATTCTGTGAAATTCCAGACTGTGCAGCCCTCCGTGGACACAGGCAACTACCTCCCAGACAACATGATGGCAGAAGAATACTCTAAGCAACATTTAATGTCGACCTGAGCATATAGCCTGATGTTTCATATACCCATAAGAATATGTATATGTATAAGTATAATGAAATGTCGTGATTTGCCTGCGTTCAAAATGTCTGAATAGTTAAGGGTTATGTGTGTGTTGTGAACCTCTCTGTGAGGTATGTTGTCAACAGTCACATTGTGTATTTATTGTCAACCATCTATGGTATTGTCACTTGCCAGGATCTGAACTGAAAGTTGAGATGAGCGGAAAGCACCATGGCCATATTATATCAAACTTTTACACGTGCATTCTATGAACTCAGGCACTATAAATATGGAACAAAGTGAAAGCGGATACGAACCGGCCGCCGACATGTTTTGATATTCTATAACATGCTAAAAGTATGAATTAATACAACTTGGTCTGAACCTCACGTTACGTTTTAGTGCTTCCAAGTATGTGTGTTCTTGTCTTCTATTGTGGACATTACTTATATTGTGTATGTTGTTACTGTGTTTACTTTTCAACGATCCTTATTCTTAAAGGTGACGTCTCACTCTCTTCTGTTATATGCACTGTAACTAACCCTCAGTGATTTGCATATAGGTGACTTTCTATAAATAGCCACTAAGCTTTTCCTGAACATGAGTGTTTATTTCCTGTGTGGAATATTTTTGTTTTTTGTGGAAATCGGGTTTCATTACACGCAACACGAAAGAATGTTTGAAAGAGTTGGCTGCAATATGAAGCAAATCATATACTTCAATCAAGACAAAATATTATTTACCAACAGTTTAATATGTTAGTTGGAATATAGGCGAAATGTAACCAAAATACAAAATATTGATTGTCGGGTCAAATAGATAGATGTACACGAGATAACAATCCCCAGGGTGAGATTCATCTTAAGCAGTATTTCGGGTATACAGCAAAGCGTTGGAATACGACAATCCACAATTAGTTACAACACAAATGGCAAATTGTATTTAGTATTTCCGGCCTCATTGCCAATAGTACATAATGCAATGAAACCAATAAAAAGGAAACAACATCACTTTAAACGGTATGTATAGACACATATAGTATGTATAGACACATATAGCATTTATAAACACACATAGCATGTATACACACATATAGTATGTATAGACACATACAGCATGTATAGACACATATTGGATGTATAGACACATATAGCATGTATAGACGCATATAGCATGTATAGACACATATAGTATCTATAGACACATAAAGTATCTATAGACACATATAGTATGTATAGACATATGTAGTATCTGTAGACACATTTAGAATGTATATTCATATATAGTATCTGAAGACACATATAGTATCTGTAGACACATGTATCTGTAGACACATATAGTATGTATAGACACATATAGTATGTATAGATGCATATAGTATGTATAGACACATAGTCACATAAAGCATTTATAGATTCATATAGAATGTATAGACACATATAGCATCTATAGACACATATAGTAGGTATAGACACATAAAGTATGTATAGAAATATATATTATCTATAGACACATATAACATGTACAGACACATATAGTATCTGTAGACACATATAGTATCTGTAGGTACATATAGTATTCATAGACACATATAGTATGTATAAACACATAAAGAATCTATAGACACATTTATTACGGACATACACATATAGTATGAATAGACCCATAGAGTATGTATAGACACATATAGCATGTATAGACACATGTAGCGTGTATAGACACATATAGCATTTATAGACACATATAGTATGTATAGACACATATAGTATGTATAGGCACATATAGTATGTATAAACATATACACGTAGTATTTATAGACACATATAGTATGTATAGACACATATAGTGTTTATAGACTAATATAGCATTTATAGACACTTATAGTATGTATAGACACATATGGTATGTATAGACACATATAGTATGTATAAACATATAGTTTGCATAGACACATAGTATGTCTAGACACATATAGTATGTATAGACACATATAGCATTAATAGACACATATAGCGTGTATAGACACATATAGTATGTACAGACACATAGAGTATGAATAGAAACATAGTATGTATAGACACATATAGTATGTACAGACAACAAGTGATTTGTTCAAAGTTCAACAAGGAGTAGGACACGGTCGTGCTCTCAGCATGGATGTTTCTAGTCTATATTTATGACCTGATATCTCAGCTTGATAATCTACAATGTGGATTAATTGTTGGTAAGCACATCCCGACGATATTACTGGCTTGTGACACTAATGTTGTCAGTACTAGTGTACATGGACTGAATATGTCTCTTGATACAATCCACCAGTATGCTCGGCGCTGTGTCTTGTCTTTTAGCAATACACACGGAAAAAGCAAGTGAACGATCTACTAGAGCTTGTGCTAAGGCGCGACAGACAATCAACTCCTTAAGAAATGTTGGTCTTAGAGCTGGAGGATTGAGCCCAGTATCTTCATCGAATATCTGGCAACGAGTGATCTTCCCCACTGCCTTCTATGCATGTGAGCTCTGGCCTAATATCAACAATCGTGAGATCACTGAGATGGAAACCCCACAGCGCTACTTTGCACGACGAGTCCAAAACCTTCACAGGAGATCCTCTACAGCTGCTACAACTCAGGTTCTAGGATTATGGTAAATGCTTGGCAAGGTGGAAAAAATTAAGCTTCTCTTTCTGGGACGACTCCGATTTTCTATCTCAGATTATCCCAGTATGTCACCACTATCTCACACAGTGCCAGATCCATAAAACATGATCTGCTGAATGTGGCTGAAAAGTATGGATTCTCAGGCGTCTTAGATAAACTAATCAACTCTGGGGAATAGCCATCTAAGAGTGTATGGAAAGGCATGGTACAACGAGCTATTAGTGAGTCTGAAAATATGAATTGGAGAAATACTTTGTAACAACGTCCAGACATGCATAGGTTTAGTGCTATCCACACACCCCTTCCCCCACATCGTCTCTGGTCTCTGTGTGTATGGTATGATATTGCTTCCCCCTGTATATGCTCTTGTAAAGCTCGGCATATTACCTCAAACGTCAGGAATGTGTCTTATCTGTAACTGTGAATGTGATGACATTGTTAAGCACTAATTGTTTTACTGTGATGGCCTAACGAAACAGAGAAATGTGCTTATTGAGTCTCTATTTGACAATGTTAGCCTTGACACCTATCTTAGACTTTGAGGACACGTCTAGTGATGACGTCAAGATTCTGACACACCTCGGTGCCATTACAGATGTGGTCCAGGACATGACACTTGACAGCTGGGCTGCATTCATGAGTATCGTGGCTAAACATGTCAGCTCATGGAACTTAACATCCATATTGTATTTGTGAAGCTATGTCACACATCAAGTTAATACAGTTTCACGCATCACTTCATTACTGCTTACCCAGCTCAATCTGTTCTATTTATATGTATTTTGTCATTGCCGTTGTCAAATAATGTAATGTAATTGTATGTACTACTCTCCAAATCATTGGAGTAAATAAAGAGTATTCATTCATGCATTCATTCATTCATTCATTCATTCATAAAGTATGTATAGACACATATAGCATGTATAGACACATAGACTTAAAGTATAGATAGACACATACAGTATTTACAGACACATATAGTATGTACAGACACATATAGTAAGTTTAGACACATATAGTATGTATAGACACATATAGTATTCGTAGACACATATAGCATTCGTAGACTAATATAGTAGAAACATATAGTATGTATAAACACATATCGTATGTATAGTCACATATAGTATCTGTAGACACATATAGTATGTATAGACAAATATAGCATTCATAGACACATATAGCATTCGTAGACTAATATAGTAGAAACATATAGTATGTATAAACACATATCGTATCTATAGACACATATAGTATCTGTAGACACATATAGTATGTATAGACAAATATAGCATTCATAGACACATATAGTATGTATAGGCACATATAGTATGTACAGACACATATAGTATGTATAGACACATTAAGTATGTATAGACACATATAATTTGTATTGACACATATAGCATTTATAGATAAATATAGCATGTATAGCGTGTATAAACACATATAGTGTCTATAGTCACAAATAGTATGTATATACACATATAGTATGTATAGACACATATAGTATGTATATACATATTTAGTAGGTATGGACACATGTAGTATCTGTAGAAACATATAGTATCTGTAAGACACATATATTATGTATAGGTGCATATAGTATGTACCGAAACATATAGTATGTATAGACACATATAGTATGTCATGACACATATATTAAGTGTGGACACATATAGTATGTACAGACACATTTACTATGTCTAAACACATATAGTATGCACGGACACATATAGCGATCTTACACATATGTAGGATGCACAAACACGTATAGTATGTGTAGACACATATAGCATGTATAGACACATATAGTATGTAGAGACACATAGTATGTCTAGACACATATAGTATGTAGAGACACATATAGTATATATAGACACATAAGGCATGTATAGACACATATAGTATATATAGACACATAAGGTATGTACAGACACATATAGTATGTATAGACACATATAGTATGTACAGACACATATAGTATGTATAGACACATAAGTATGTAAAGACACATACAGTATGTAAAGACACATATAGTATGTCTAGACACATATAGTATGTAGAGACACATACAGTATCTGTAGACATATATAGTATCTGTAGACATATATAGTATGTATAGGCACATATAGTATGTAAAGACACATAGTATGTCTAGACACATATAGTATGTAGAGACACAGATATAGTATCTATAGACTCATAAGGTATGTATAGACACATATAGTATGTATAGACACATATAGTATGTATAGACACATATAGTATTTATAGACACATATAGTATCTAAAGGCACATAGTATGTCTAGACACATAATGTATGTAGAGACACATATAGTATATATAGACACATAAGGTATGTATAGACACATATAGTATGTACAGACACATATAGTATGTACAGACACATATAGTGTGTACAGACACATATAGTATGTATAGACACATAAAGTATGTATAGACACATATAGTATGTGAGACACATATAGTATGTATAGACACATATGGTATTGTACAGACACAGATAGTATGAATAGACACATATAGTATGTATAGACACATACAGCATAACAGCATGTATAGACACATATGACATTTATAGACACACATAGCATGTATAGACACACATAGTATGTATAGGTACATATAGTATGTATAGACACATATAACATGTATAAACCTATATAGTATGTATAGACACATATAACATGTATAGACACATACAGCATTTATAGACACACATTGCATGTATAGACACATATAGTATGTATAGACACAAATAGTAAGTAAAACACATAGTATGTCAAGACACATATAGTATGTTTAGACACATATAGTATATAAAGACACATATAGTATCTATAGACAGATATAGTATCTATAGACACATATAACATGTATAGACACATACAGCATTTATAGACACACATTGCATGTATAGACACATATAGTATGT